GGCATACATACCGATACCAAACCGATACCAACTTGGTATTTGGTATTTCGATCGTAATGTGTTTGGTATTTTGTTGGTATCATAAGCCCTCACTAATGTATAAGAGGCTAAGAAATCGGTAAAAAGTTGGTATTTCCCTCAGTTTCCCAAGTTGGTTTGGTTACGGTATTTTCCCGTGGTTTTGGTTGGTATTTGGTTTAGTATCGGTATTCCGATTTTCCGTAATTGACATCACTAATTCGTGAGCTTTCGAAACCTTTCTCATATAACTAATGAACTATTCTATTTTATCATCTGTTTTCGTGATCCTGACTCGGAAATGTGGTTCAGCTTTTCAAAATTGGGGCCAAAGAACCTCACTCTTCACGGAACTGCTGCCAAGCTTATTTGTTGAAGAAGTGTCATTTTTTTAAACGATAAATTTTGAAATATATTACAAATAATGTTGTGCGGCAGGTTCGTGTACCTTCGCACTGCCTTGGGGCACATTCGTGCTTTTTTCGATTTTGCGATTTATGACTATCTGTAGGTAGTAGGTAGGTTTCACTAATGACGCTCGCCTGACTCAGTCTCGGCTGCTTGCGACGTCGTGACAAGTAATTCACGCGACCTTGGCGAGGTCACGGAGGCCGGCAGTTGGCACATTCTTGTTGGCCAGCCCATTCTTTCTACATATTTTGTGCAATGCATTCTTGTCGAAAGGAATCAAGTGAAATGACCCCCTGCCAATTTCTTTTGGTAAATTTCTGGTAATGCCCGGTAATTGCTCGAACTTCGCAGGGTGCACGGAAGTGCCCCATCCCATGCACGAAAGTGCCCCATAGGTGCGGCAGTTTCGTGCAAACGTTCAGAGTTATTAAAAGTCATTTTTTTTCTTCTAATAAAAGCAGTAATTTTAGAGGATAACTTTTAAGGAGGAAAGATATCTGCAATAGTTCCTTTCCATATACTACAATCAACCAACATCCAGATAACAGAGCACAAACGCATTCATGGCGTCAAAACGAAGTCACCCCCAACGTGTGGTCGGAGGCAAATTAAATATAGCATACCTATACTTCATTTTGTACAAAGCTCGGTGGATAATTTCCGAGGAAATTTACAGGAACGTTTCTGTGATAGTGGCTTAAGCCTAAAACAGACTCTTTCCGCAGTCAGGAAATCGCATGCGAGAGCCTATTCAAATACATGGGAGCACGCTCGCACCAATCGCACGCACCTCCCGGATGCGATTGCTGCGGGAAGAACTACCTATAATGCAGAGGCGGATCCAGCTCAGAGGTTTGGGGGGGGGGGGCAAGGCAAACCATAAAAAATTATCGATTCTTTCCATGCATCGTCCATAGGCGTAATGTTAAAATCATGCCGTTTGGGGGGGCAAATGCCCATTTTGCCCCCCCCCCTGGATCCGCCACTGCTATAATGTATTTGAATAGGCTCTCGCATGCGATTTCCTGAATGCTGAAAGAGTCTGTTTCAGCCTTTAGGGTCGCGCTATCAGCTAGGGGTCGCGCTATCAGCTCAGGGCCGTGCTCACGCAGGTACTTATCATCAGCAAAATTCATGCGACCGGGTCCTCACTTTTTATCCACTATACGTACCTGGCTACAACCCTTTTATATCCACTGTACACGCAGTTACAAATAAAACATCGGAAGGTGAATAGGAATTTTGCGCACTCAGATGCTACTGTGAAATTGAAAAGCACTTCATCAATATTCTATTAGCGCCATGCAGCATGGCGTTATGATCAGCTCCGCCGTGCTCGCGCACTGACTTGCCGATCAGGCACGGGCAGGCGGTCTGTTGCTCAGTTTGTCCTTGAGGCGTCGTCACGGGCAGGGGGGTTCGCTCCCGTGCCTTCAGCATTACGAAAAATGGCAACAGCCCGTGAGCAGCATCAGCGCTCACGCACATGTTCAAGGAAAACAACGTGTAATTAGCTGCTGACGACGGCCCTCTCCACCAATCAGCGCTCGGTTACTCGAGCGCTGATTGGCTGGTAGCAAACGCGTCATATGTGGGTCTCTTTTTTTGCTATCAGTGAACGCGTTATTTAATACACAGTGGCCTATGGAGAATGGCACGCGGAATTGAAGGTCAGTGTTTTATTGCTTCGTACATGCGAATGGGGGTATTTGAGTGGCATTTGACAGCATTTTCGAAATCTACAGTGAATTTCTGATCGACTCATGTATATATTTTTATGAATTTGACAGTATTAGTGCTACATAGTCGGTGTTTTATGTTGGTGTGTTTTCTCTCGACCTTTGTCTTGGACTTTAATCATATCTTTTCTCGAAAGTGCTTGCCATAACCAGGTCTAAACTGTATCTGTATAAAGGGAATATGTGTTGAATATGAGGGGAAAGTAGTAATGACCATTCTGCCTATCAAACTGCCAGAAGGTGTGCTTGTAAGGTGATTGAAACTGCAGTACGGGTTGCAGATGTGGGTTTGACATTAGCATTGTTGTTGTAACCCCATTTGCTCTAATAAAATGGCAACATGGGGTTATGTACACAGTACACACTATTGCACAGCCTGGTATCAAGCTGGTTGATATGTGGAGGATAATGAAAGCATAAAAGAATAGGAGCGTTGCGTCTTGTGACTTATGTCAAGTCATTTTAAATCAAATGATTGTGATTGTAACTTTTACTTCAATTATTATTGAAAGTTTTGACCTTTTTAATCATCAATTTTTATGTGTACCAATTTCATATGCCTGTGTAATGTCTGTGCGGCTTTGTGCAGTGTGCGTGTCTTGAAACAAACCAATTTATTTTGTACCTTTTTGTACTTCAACAAATGTATGTCAAAGGACAAAAATGTCATGTCTATTATCATTGACACTACTACAGCTAACTTTGCCTGTATTCCTATCTTTCAGAGGCATTCAATTCAATCTGCTTTCCAGTGCAGTACCAAGGAGGCTGCAACTGAAACTCGCACAAAGGCAATCAAGTGTCACTTCATCAGCCTACAGTAACAGCCCATCTGTAATCAAGATATGGATGAAGGGGCATAGAAGAACAACCAGTTCAAACATGAAAAGATTGTATTTTGTTTTGGACTATTTCTTAGCATAACAGAACAGTACACTTGCTGCTTTTTATGTTTGCCCTGTGTGCAGTTTTGAATAGTTTTAACCATGAGATGCTTTTGTCAACTATTCTCTTTACATAAGCTTCCTTTGTCATGCATGTGTAATTTTGAGTTTACATGCATAATGTAGGCACATTTCCCTTGGCTTCATAGAAGTTAAAACTACTTGCAAGCTTTGGTTATGGACATTGGTGCTATATATGATGCTTCAAATGTGTCCAGTAGTTGATGAAGGGAGAAGAGGAGTAGGACAGCTGATAGCTATTACCAAGAGTATGTGCTTGTCTGCACTTCAGGCTGTTTTACTTCCTTGAGTTAAAAAACCCTCATCTTTTGTTTCTTTCCTGTGTGCCTATTGTTTCCATGGTGCTATACATAAACGTCAAGTTTGAAGTTGGTATCCAAGTGAGCAAAATGTGTATTATTTCAGTCCGTCTTGAATCATTCGTCTTGAATTATATCCCTAACTGACATCCTGTTATTTGTCCTGCAATGTCTGTGCCTGTGTCCGACCTTATCTCCGGCTCCAGCCTCCAACCAGCCCTGCTGAGCTCTGTCGCCGGCGCGGTGTGTCGCAACGTGCTGTTTCTCCACTCCAGCCGACAGCTGCTAGGAATCGTCCTGTGCCATGCGCCATGCGACACAGCAATTGTAAGCTGCAGGTCACATTCGGACTGATTGGCTCCGCGTATGTGCATCCGGCCGGGAGCTAGTCGATATCAGGGACGTGGGTCGGACTGTTGTGGCGGCGTGCACTGTGCTGGTTGAAGTTGTATTTCTGTTAGTGAAAAGCATTAATACATAACCGTGGCCGCAGCCCAATGTTATTGTGGATTTCAGAGGGAGTGGCCAGTCAGGAGGGCCCCATGTGGGTATGGATCCAGTGTCCAGTGGGATTGGCTAAGATTTCCGGCGATTGATAAACGCTTCTATGATAGTAAACCTATTGAGTTATGAGGGGAGGTCACGTGACGGACCTGAGCTTACTAAACTCTCGTGAAAACACGACACATACGAACGGTAAGAAACCGACAACTCTTCTTTCTGCCAAGTGTCATCTTTCTGTGAAGGATTTCTTGGCACTGAGTGTTCAGAAATTGCGTTGTTTTTGGACTGTGCAGAGGCTCACGAGCGACAACATAGGTCAACAACCTGACCTACCTTAAATATGCGACTTGTACCATAAGATCCAGCTTGATCAAAAGATAGAACATGTCAAATTTCATCTCTTTATCTCAAAAGAATTTTGAGCTATCGTAAAAACCGCCAGTGTGGCACCATATCGCCTCCGCGCGCGGTCGGAAGGTAAAAGTTCGCCGGCTCTAACTAAACAAATTGTCGTCGTATCGCAAATTCATTGACGGCGTTCGAAGCGTCGTTCAATTTACTTTCGAATCATATCCTAACATTACCATTTAACTGCCTAGCGCAATCACCAGCAAGCAAAAGTTCCGCGCATCCCTCCTCATACAGTGTTAGCGGCGGCCGGCCGCCGGCCGCTGACCCACATTCGCGTCATCAGGGAATGCCGCAACTAATTTATTGTTTCCAACTTTTTTCCCGGAGCGTTCTACCTGGTTTATATAGCCTTGGTCACGGGCACCGCCGCCGGCGTGGCTGGGAAGTGTCGTGTTTGAAATACAAACGCTTTTTCACCTTGTTTATTTCTGTTGTATTTTACTGGAACCCATGCTCATAGAACTCGGTGTCCCTGTAGTAGGTAGGTAGCTATAGGGTTAGGAATCGCGATTATTTTCGAAAGGGCATGCCCTTTCGAAAAAACTCATATTTTTGCAGCCAGCAGCATCCTGCAGGATGCTGCTGGCTGCAAAAATATGAGTTGCTATTTGTTCTAAAAATGTTCACACTGGCATTGGCAAAACCGCCCAAAACGTCGAGCTCACTTCCGGATCATGATGCTCTCACTATCTGTAAGAATCTTGGCTCTCACTACGGCCCTACGGCTATAAAGCAGCTGACGCGTGTCGACTTCCCGAAGCGCCTCATTCAAATTAAGTAACCTTGACTGTTAGGAACCTGAATGAAACTGAGCACATAATGGTGCAGTTTTAGGGAAGCGGGGGCAGCTGAGGGACCTATAGCCAGGACCCATCATTCTGCTTTGGGTGAGTGTTCATGTCTGCTCATTGGTAGCTGAAAAGTGCCTGTATCTGCTCATTGGTAGATGAAAAGTGCCTGTATCTGCTCATTGGTAGATGAAAAGTGCCTGTATCTGCTCATTGGTAGATGAAAAGTGCCGGTCCTCTGGTTTAGCCTACTGGAAATTCAGCTGCGTCCAGGGGCAGTTAGGTAGGTACATGTTTGAAGTTGCAGATTCAATTATACAACCGAGGAGCTATATACCTTGTGTCCCGATTTCAATTGACATCGGTCCAACCGATGTCATTTCTTAGAATGCCTGTTGACGGTGAAAATGTGACCTTTGACCAGACGTGTGTTACCTGTGAAACCCGTGTTGTAAAAGCAAGTAAAAGGCAGGTTATTGAAAATCATCGATGGAAATTTGTTTGTCCAGCACATATTATCCCTCGCCCATGTAGGGGGGGGGGGGGAGTGCAACCCCCCTGAGGTTTTTCTTAGCTACACGCCGAACCGTTTCAGATAGCCTGCTCAAATTTTCAGTACCCTATGGGGCATCCATTGCGCAACTTTTGATATTTCTTTTGTCAAGGTCATGTCAGGTCACGGAGTTATGACGTCATAAAGGGAACAACCTCCGGCCAGATTTACGCTAAATTGGAGATTGCTTCACATTGGTATAAATGCCGACTGACCTGACACACTGATCGATTGTTTTAGAATCACAACTGGCTGATTTGTCATTGGCACAATGTCCGTTGACATTTTGAAGGTTACTAAAGGTCAAGGTAAGGTCAGTGACCTCGGTTGACCTGTAATGACTTCTTGCACTTGTATGCCTTTTCGGGGTATTTTGATGCCCTGAATTCGAATTTGCTATCCATTTCAGGCATCGTCGTTTGTTTCTTTTAGTTCATTTTGGGTCAGGGTCAGGTCAGTGACGTCACACGCCTGACGTGACCCAATACACAAATTACCTTGCAGACTTCCGATGCCCCCAACGCATCATTTTTAGAGTTATGACATCGAAATACACACCAAACGATAGAGAATTGATGAAGGATCACGACAGTGAAGGTTTCAAGTCAACATCTCTTACCGTTTTGCCGCAATCGGCGCGGAAATCTGAAAGAGTTAGATTTTTCCGAAAATTTGACCTTTGACCGGTCATAAGTAGGTCAAATGTTGACCTAGGACCAAAAAATATACCACCAATCGCGAGACCTCGTTGAGAGCAATCCGTTGGTCTTTTCCGCTAAGCTCTACGACGCTCCGTTTTCAAACGCCGGGGGGGGGGGGGGGGTCGCACCAACCCCCTGCATGGGCGAAGGTGGCAAAACACCGTGTACGGGCGAGGGTTATGCTAAATAGCATTGCTATTTGCTGTCACTGATACCAGGTCAGGTTAGTGCTTACTGATCGGGTCACAATATGAAAGTGTCGTTGTGATAGGTACGTCTTTGATGGTCCATTTTACATGACAAATGCGATTATGTGGGTCAGGCGACTTTTGGGGCCAGTTAAGGTTACCTACGTTCTGCTGAAGGTCAGGTCAAGTCAAATAAGGTCAAATTTCAAAGTTGACATTTTTGCATTGCTCGTCTTTTTGCTCGTCTTTGTTTTGCGCTACGGGTCTATAATTGCTAAAAATTAATTTAAAAAATTTGATGTCAACAATTTTGAAATTTTGTTTTCGCCATAACACGGTAAACAGAGATATCGATCTCAAATTTGGTATGTCGATTGAAACTGTGGTTACGGATTATAACCCGCGCCGGGCCGGGGGATGTTTAAACACCCCCTGCGGTTTTTCGCAGATATCTCAAAAACGGCGGCGCGGAGCGCCGCCATTTTTGGCACACCTGTTTGTGCATCTTTTCTGCACATGTTGTGAAAATTTCAGACCCAGGTCACCTTAGGTCAGGTCACCAGGTCACGCCAAGTGACCTCACCTCAGAAAAAATAAGAATGCTCATCATCGCTACACCGACTGAACGATTGCCTTGAAACTTTCAGCGATTGATAAGAGCAACTTTATCTATAAAATGTATATCTCAGAATTTTGATATCGGTGACCTAAGGTCAGGTCAATTTTGCGGCCTCTCCATTATAGGTAAGTCAATGGGAGAAAATTGAAAAGCGTCTGTTTTGCACGAACGCTATTCTAGACACTCTCAAACATTGAGATGTAGGTAAAATTGACACACTGAACCAGAAAATGGCAACTGTGACCCCTCGTTATGTCCCCGAGGTTATCTCAGGTCACGAACAGAATCTAACAGTTTTTCGCTAATAACTTCTGATAGAGGCGTGCTAGAGCGCTGAAAACGCCTTAGATCATAGATGTGTTCGGCTCGACGTTGCGGATCGACTGATATGCAACATGACCTCTTTCGGTCAGGTCATGACCTTGACCTGAGGTCAAATTTTCAAGTTGACCTTTCAAGGTCAGATTATAGTTCATTCGACGCGTCTCGACGAGAGGAACACGATGCTGGCAAAAGTAATGTCATGGCTCTTTTGAGTCAAAAGCTATTGCCGAAAAAACGCTTTTCGTAAAAACGGTTATTTTTGGAGTTTTTGCCCTCTGGAGGCTAAACCGTTGACCTGAGGTCAAATCTGAGAACATTACCCAGAAAGGTCTGTAGAAGGGCTATCGAATGCGCTTTTCCGCGGCGCTGTAGCTCTATCGGTTCTCGAGATAGCCGTTGGCAGTTTCCAAAATGTTGAAATCGTCAACATTTTACCTTTGGTGACCTCTGGTGACCTGATCTTTGACCTGACCCAAAAAATGACTGAAGTGTTTCCGTCCTTATTTTGGACGTTCTTTCGATTGCCGCTTACCGCGTGTCGCTACGTGGCCCAGGAGCCGAGTTAGAAGGGGGGGGTGTTCAGACCCCCCCCCCCCGGGCCGGCGCGGAATCTCAGAGCACCGGCCCGGCGCTGGCGCGGGATAACATAACGGGCTGCTCACGGAAGTCAGACGAAATTATAATTCATATATTTTAGGTGTGTCGGTGTTATACAAAAATGAATCAGGTATCACCTGAAAACCAGGTTAAATTTATTTTGTTCGAGGGGATTTTGACCGTCGGCGATCCCCTTAGTGAGCCGCGGGGGACGGGACCTCTTCGAGATGACCCCAGTTTCGCTCGATTCACGGCTTAGCCCGGCGCAGCGCGGCCTCTGTTGCAGCACGGCACACGGAAGGTGGCAGGCTGCGCACCGTCGACCTCACTGCACCTTTCAGGTCTTTGGGGCTTCTTGTATGGTTTCGGTACACCTGGGACTTGAGGTGGTCCTACAGGAAAAAGTCCGGTGGGGTCAAGTCCGGGGAGCTCGCTGTTCACGGATAAGTCCCAAACCTCGAGATCACACGCTGCCCGGAGCGCTCCTGCAGCCACTCCCGGTTTTCTTTAGCGGCATTGGCCGTAGAACCTTCGAGCTGGAAATATTGGCACTTGAGTGCTTCGGGATCTCTGCCCATTGTAGTTTTCAGGACACTCCAAAAATTTGCCAGGGTCATCCGGTATCGCTGACCGTCGACAGCTTGGGTAGCAGAAATCTCACACGAGTGGTCCTACCACGTAGTGTATTGGATTTCCCAGTGCACTTCAAGGTGATTTCTTTACTTTAATCGATATGGTATAGGCTTGTGTCGGTCGGAGCTTGGAACGTATAAACAGCCGTATTATTATTAAAATGTATTGACCAAACAATTACAAAAATTAAATATTTTACACAGACAGCGTTCGAGGTTAATGAGCGGCCTATTTGTTAGACGAACAGCTGAATCACACCGTGTTTGCGCATTAAAGTTGGAGTTTAGCCTGGTAGCACAGAATGTTCGAGTGTGAGAATAGAAGTGGCAGACAGGTAGATAGATGCACTAGTCATAGTAACTTCAGGCGTGCGTGTGTAGTCGGTGTGTTCACTGGCGAAGAACAGTTAAAAGAGCCAGTGATCGTCGTCAAACGGACCTCGATAGAGAACGCGTGTCACACATCGGTAGCGGCCGAGCGCTGATTCACATAACAACTGGCGCCGCCGCTGCACCCACGGCCGGCAGCCGCTCGCTCCGTTTCCTCTCAGTAGCTCTCGCTCGCTGGCGGTCGGTCGCCGGCGCCGGTCGATATTAGCCCAGCGGTGGTGGCCTCGGGACGGCGGCGGCACTTCCCCAAGACGTGCCGCCGCCCGCGCCAACACCGCCGAGGAATCTCAAGCGGACGTCCGGCTCCGTACGCACACTTTATACACGGTACCCTACGCCGGCGCTGCTGCGTCGCACACATTCAGTGGCAGACGCGTAGCCAGCCTCTGTCTTGCTCTGTATGTCTGTGTGCATGCGTGTAAGCGTGAAGATGATTTGGTCAATATCAGGCGAGGGTACACTTGAAACGAAAACACATGACCAGGACACTGGTTTGGCAGTCTCACTGTTTCACAGTAGAGCACCGCGGTCCACCTTACATCCGCGGCGCTGCGCGCAATACTGTCTCCCTAGTCACATACACATTCTAACGGCTCAGTTGCACACGCACGCCGGCGCCCAGCGCCCTTTCTATATCACATTTGGCGTGCGTGCGGTGCGCGCGGATCCTTTCTCTCTCTCTCACACACACTCTCGTCTAAGGTTGTGTGTCGCTCGGCTCATCTGTGGTAGTCGGGACTGGGCTCGGCCAGCGGCTCCGGTGTGGTGTAGAGCGGGTTGGGGAACTCGGCAGGGTGCGGCAGTGGGCCGTCCACCTTGCGCCGCCGCCGGTACGCCATCAACCAGCAGCTGATGGCGATGGCCACGGCCACCAGTGCCAGCAGTGCCGTGATGATGAGCGCGATGATGAAGCCCAGCTTGCTGACGCAGATCTCGTCCGGTCCGAGGCCGGCCTGCGCCACCTCGGGCTCTGTGATCAGACGCAGGCGGGCGGTGTCAGTCATGCAGGCCGCACTTGGCACCAGACGGGAGTATGAAGGGAAGCAGTGCGACGCTTGTTCAGAATACCAGTTAGATTGACCTCAGAAATAAGAAAAGAGATGTAACATAAAAATGCATCGAACGGGTACTGGTAATGCTGGTAGTGACGTCGTTGTTGATACAACAATAAATAGTCTAACAATGCGAACACCTTTCAGAAACTTACCTTGTGGGTCAACGAATCTGTTCTCGGTCGGCTCGCTCTGCTCCAGTGTGAGGATGGCCGGACTCTGGACGAGGATCTCCTCGCGCAGCTTTCCGCTGAAGAGGCTGTCCGAGTCGCTGACGACCGCCTCCTGCTCGCTGGTGATGGGCGAACGCCGACGGCGACGGCCGAACGCGTCCAGACCATTACAGTTCACTGGCGGGCACAGGCCGAAGCACACGCGGATGTTGCACCGGAACTTGATGTTGTTGGATGACGGGAACTTAAATGCGTTGAAGATGGCCTTGAGCTGGTTGGCTCGCGGGTCAAAGTCCCACTCTCCGAAGATGGATGGGTCAGTGGCGCAGCCGTTCTCGTCCGTCACCAAGTACTCGTTCTCTTCGTTGTCGTCCACGGTGGTTGCGATACAGTTGCGCGCGAAGCCGCCATAAATGTCCTGGGGCTGCACGTCCACCTTCAGCATCAGCTGGTCGCCGATCTTGGCCGTGTTGATCTCCTCGCCGTCGCTAGTGCAGATGGACATGGTGCAAGTCGGCGGCGGGCCCGTGTTGGCGATCGTGCCGGCAGTAGTCAGCATGGACACGTTGAAGCCGATGTTGATGCTCTTCTCGCCCGTCTTGTAGACGCAGCGGACCTGATAGGCGAGCGCCTTGGCCGTTACCAGTTTGGGATGTTTCTGGATGACGAGCACAAAGGCCGCTTCTCCATCAACATGGATCAGACCGCAGGTGTTAAAGAGCACCTTGAAGTCGACGTTCTGTGTGTTGTCGCCGGTGCCGAGCGTCTTGCGGCACTCGCTGTTCTGCGAGTAGCCCTTGACGTACATGAGGCCGTTGAATTCGCCGACGTTGACGTCCACCTGGACACCGTCGTGCTGGCAGTTGACCACCAAGTTGCGCGGCGGCAGGTCGGTGCGCGCCGTGCGGCACTCCTGGTATGCGTCGCCAAAGTAGCCCGGGATGCAGCTGCACACGGGCTCGTGCGCGCGTGCCACACAGAACGCGTTCCTGCCGCACTCGGAGTACTTGCACGGGTCCTGGCACGTGTTGTCTCGCGTTTCGCAGAACTTGTCCTCGGCGCAGTCGTCGTTGGTCTCGCACTCGCGGCGCGGCGGCGGCGTTTCGACGCCCGTACACACGCCGTTCACCAGCACGTAGCGCTCGGGACAGGCGCAGTTGCCGTTGGCGTCGACCACCATGCCGCGCTCGACGGCGCACACGCAGTGACCGTTCTCGTCGACCCGGTAGCCGAGCGTCTCGTCGCAGGGCGCGCAGATGCCGTCAGCGCTGACGCCGTACGTGGGCGGGCAGATGCACTGGTCGTCAGCGCCCAGCACGAAGCCGCGCTCCGTCGGACAGCCGGGGACTGTGGACACGCGCACGGAACAGCTCGGTTACCGATAGCCAGACATGGAATCGGGAAATAAAGCGGCACATAGCTGCCACGTATTAATTGTTTGATAGTTGTAGACTCGTTACCATGTTGAAAGGCTTCATTTGATATCATGCTAGGAATTCAACGACAAAATTTAAGCAACTGATAATAATACATTAATCCATTGGACAGTTTCTCAGCAGTAGGTATACAGCCGTCACTAGTGTGTTCATATGTGCAGTGGTGGGCGAGGTCATGGGCCAAACGTTCCGCTGAAGGAAACTAGGATTCGGAAAGGAGACGGGTTATCCTGTAAATGAAGGATAAAGTTAAAATGATGATGCACATGCACTTTGTTGACATTCACACAACAGCAAAGCGTTAGCAGTCATGCTGGCTACATAAACGAAGCAGTTGTTGGATAGAAAGCATTACGATTCGTAGTTCACTATTCATACATCAGCCTTATTGGTATTTAAGCCGTATTTTGAAAGCATCATAATTCCTACACATTTCACCCAGGCTTTAGTTACAGCGGGCATGCCATTGATAAAGAGGAATCCCATAATGTTATACCCAACTGCCACATAGGTTTTTATGAAAACCTTCCCCTTTTGACTCGCTGCAAAGTAAGCATTTTGCGGAAAATCAAATTTTAATAACTATCGAAATTAGTACAAGAAAAGGACACTTCTATAGCTCTGTGCAATGCGTTCGCCTATATGCGAAGCAAAAACATGTCCGTTTTGTTAGAACAGACAACACCATCTTGCATTCAGGAGTAATTTACAGCATCTCAAGCAAATAATTTATATACTGCATGCAGAAGAAGCACACAATTCAAGCATCCAAGCACATAATCAATTTTGCAATTTCGAAAGAACAAGCGCATCGACCCAAGCGGATAAGCGTTAAACAGGGCAGCGTCAGGCGGGGGCATTACCGGTCGGCGGGCGGGGGCGGGGCGGGGCGGTACTCACTGGGCAGACACTCCTCCTTGGCGTTGCCGCGGTAGCCGGGCAGGCACTCGCAGCTCATGGTGCGCACGGGCTCCGTGTCGACGGTGGTGCACTGAGCGTGCTCGGCGCACGGGTTCAACTCGGCGCACAGGTCCACGCAGTTGCCCTCGATGCAGGCCGTTCCCGAGGGGCAGTCGGAGTCGAGTCGGCAGCCGACCACGACTGGAACGGGTGGGTGGACGTGAGAACGGCGCGCATATGATGCACATTGCACAGGACATATTAGGGGATCCAAGGTTCTCTGATTCACGTTCACGTGGTAGTTTAAGCTGATGCCTTATGGGTGGAACGCAATAGGCCTGGTGTGCTGCTTATCTTTCTACGTTTGTGCCGACTCAATATTAAGTAACTGTTAGCTATATCGAAGCCTGACAATTGATGACAGTAATACCCAGATTAAACCCAAACCAGATCCCGTCTCGCTACTTACTTGGGACGCATTTGACTTCCGGCTTGCGGTCTCCGTCGTCATCCGAGATCTGTGTCTCGAATCCGGGCGGGCAGACACAGGTGGGCTGGTTGTTGAACACCTTGCAGACAGCCGGCTCGACGCAGTCGTGCTCATCGCACGGGTCCTTGCACTGGCTGTTGATGCAGGCGGCCTCCGGCGGGCACTCGGAGTTGTCCGTGCAGCCGACGGCCGAGCACAGCGTGCGCGGGTCGCCTTGCGTGCCCGGCTTGCACGTGCACTGGGCTACGTGCTCAGCGGGCTCGCAGATGGCGTTCTGGCCGCACGGCGAGTGGCGCTCGTCGCAGACGGCCTCGCACTGTCCGTTGATGCAGGCGTGGGTGCTGGGGCAGTCGGAGTTGGCGCGGCAGCCCACCTCGTGGCAGGCCAGGTTCGGGTTGCCCTCGTAGCCCGGACGGCACGAGCACACCGGCTTGTGTCCAACCAGCTGGCAGTCGGCGTTGGCGCCGCACTGGCAGGGCAGCACGCAGATGGCGTTGACGCAGGCCCGGGTCGGTCCGCACTCGTCGTGTGACCGGCACCCGATGGTGATGGCCGTCAGCGGCTGGCAGGTGCGGTCCGGACCGCCCACGTAGCCGTCCGGACACACGCAGGTCATGGAGCGCACCGGCACAGAGTCGATGACGCGGCACTCGACGTCGTCGCCGCAAGGCTCGTCGGCGGCGCACGGGTTCACGCAGCGGCCGTCCATGCAGGCCAGCCGTGAGGCGCAGTCGGAGTCGCGCTCGCAGTCGGGCCGCGGCTCGGGCACGCAGGCGATCAGCGGGCTGCCGACGTAGCCAGGCGGACAGCGGCACTCTGCGCGGTGCCGGATCGCCTCGCACTCGGCGCTCGGCGCGCACGGCCGGTCAAACAGGCACGGGTTGACGCACTGGCGGTTGATGCACGCCTGGTGGTCGGGGCAGGCGTCGTTGTCCCTGCAGCCGGCGATCAGGCAGCGGCCCTGTGGGTCGCCCTCGTAGCCCGGCAGGCAGCGGCAGAACGAGTTGTGGTCGCGCACGTAGCACTCAGCGTTGAGACCGCAGTCGTTGCGTACCAGACAGGGGTTGACACACTCGCTGTTGACGCAGGCCTGGTGAGAGGGACACTCTGAGTTGCCGCGGCAGCCGATGGCGTGGCAGGCGATGTTGGCGTTGCCGTCGTATCCCTGTCGGCAGCTGCAGACGGCGCGGTGGTTGGTGACGGTGCACTCGGCGTTGGTGCCGCAGTTGCACGGCGAGCGGCACTGGCGGTTGAAGCAGGCCTCCGTGCTAGGGCAGTCCGAGTTGGCCGTGCAGCCGGGCGGTGTGGGCAGAGCCACGGGCCTGCAGCGGCCGGCCAGGTCCATCACAAAGCCGGGCAGGCAGACGCAGGTGACAGAGCGCGGCAGCGTGTCCACCACGCGGCACTCGGCCGAGCTGTCGCACGGCGCCAGCACGGCGCACAGGTTCTGACAGCGCTCGTCCACGCAGGCCAGCTGCGGGCCGCAGTCGGCGTCCCGGCGACACTCGGGCTCGGCCACCACGGGCGTCTTGCGCGGCTGGCAGTCGAACTGCGGGTCGCCGAGCGGCAGGTGCGGCGGGCACCGGCACACGGCCTGGTGACGCACCGCCAGACACTCGGCGTTGGGCGCGCACCGGTCGTCGTACAGACAGACGTCCACACACTGCCGGTTCTGGCAGCGCTGTGTCATGGCGCACTCGCTGTCAGCGCGGCAGCCGATCGGCTCGCAGCGGGTGAAGGGATCACCCTGCATGCCCTCCGGGCACTGGCAGGCGGCCGCGTGGTTCTCGGCGTAGCAGCGGGCCGTCAGTGCGCACGGGTCTCTGTAGACGCACGGGTTGATGCATTCTCCGTTCACGCAGGTCTCGTCTGAACGGCAGCTGTCGTCGTCGCTGCAGCCGACCTCGGCGCAGAAGATGTTGGGGTTGCCCGAGTAGCCGGCGCGGCACTCGCAGATGGCGCGGTGGTTGACCACGCGGCAGTCGGCGTTCGGGCCGCAGTCGCACGGGTCCTGGCAGCGGCCGTTCACACAGGCCTGGTCACTGGGGCAGTCGGAGCTGGAGGCGCAGCCCACGGTGCCGGCCACCTGGATGGGCACACAGCCTCCCACACTGTCGGGCACCATGTCCTCGGGACACTGGCAGACCATGCTGCGCATCGGCGCCGTGTTGACCACCGAGCAGCGGGCCGTGTCGGCGCACGGGTCGATGGTGCTGCACGGCGGCACGCACTGGTCCGAGATACAGGCCAGGCGCGCTCCGCAGTCCGAGTCCACCAGGCACACGGGGCTGGGCTCGGGCACACACAGCACCAGCGGACTGCCCACGTAGCCGGCCGGACAGCGGCACTGCGGCCGGTGCAGCGACACGAAACACTCGGCGTTGGAGGCGCACGGGTTGCGGTAGAGGCACGGGTTGACGCACTGCCGGCTCAGGCACGCCTGGTTGGACGGACACTCGGCGTCCGATGAGCAGCCGACGGCCGAGCAGCGGCGCTCGCCGTCTCCCTCATATCCAGGCAGACAGCGGCACTGGGCCCGGTGCGACTGGGCATAGCACTCGGCGTTGCGCAGGCACGGGTTGGAGACGCTGCACGGGTTGACACAGTTGCCACTGTAGCACATCTCGCGGTCTCCGCACTCGCTGTCTGATCGGCAGCCGCCTGTGGAGGGAGAGGAACGGTCGGTCAGAAATGACTGGGGAGAAACCGATCGAGAACAGTAACAGGACTCATATTTTTGAAACGGCTTGATGTGTATGGAAATTACGCGCGTAATGAATCATGTTCTAGCTATAATTAATTCACTGAAATTAATTGTCATGTAGGTACGCCTTTTTGCGCAGTTGGGCCAGGAACTTAAGTATGGGTTGCACCGGTCGCACACTCACTTGGCAGGCAGGCGATTTGAGGGTTGCCCTCGTATCCAGGCTTGCACGTGCAGATGGCGCGGTGGTTGATGACGTCACAGCGGGCGTTGTCTCCACAGTCGCACGGGTCGCGGCACTGGCGGTTGATGCAAGCCTCGCGGGCGGCGCACTCCGAGTTGGACGTGCAGCCGCCGGGCGTCGCGATGATCATCAGGCGGCAGCCGGCGTAGGCATCTCCCTCGTAGCCCGGCGGGCACTGGCAGACCATGGTGCGGTAGGGCGCCGTGTCGAGCACCTTGCATGTGGCTCCCTGGCCGCACGGACGCACCTCCAGGCACGGGTTGACGCACACACCGGACATGCAGGCCAGCTGGGAGGCGCAGTCCGTGTCGATGGAGCAGGTGCGGCTGGGCGGCGTCTCGGGCGCACGGCACGCGAACAGCGGGTTGCCCTCGGTGCCCGGCCGGCAGACGCACTGCGCTCGGTGGCTCTGGACACGGCACTCGGCGTTGGAGCCGCACTGCTGGTACAGGCACGGGTCGACGCACCGCTGGCTGCGGCACGCCAGGCTGGCCGGACACTCGTCGTCGGAGCGGCAGCCCACCGGGCGGCACCGCTGGTACGCGTCGCCCTCGAAGCCCTCGGGACACGAGCAGGAGGCCTGGTGGTTCTGTCCGGCGCAGCGTGCGTTCAGCGCGCACGGGTTCTGCACAGCGCACACCTGCATGCACTGGCGGTTGATACAGGCCGAGTCCGACGGACACTCACTGTTGTCTCTGCAGCCAACTGAAAACACAATAGGGGTACTGTGAACAACCAAACGAAGCCAGGTGTCGTGAAATTGGCAAGAAATACATTCTAGATGCATCGTCAATTATAACTCGGTAATCGATTCCGAGTTGTTTCTTTGAATCTGGATTCATAAAGCCAGGAAACTGATACTAATGATCAGATTGAAAAATGGATGTAATATAAGAGCGCGGCTGTGCCTGTCGTGTTTTGTCTGATCTATTGATAATTTTGCCTCTCCATTCCACTAGCTCGACCAGCGCGCCGTCCCGCCATGACTGACCCTGGTAGCAGCCAGTCTGCGCGTTGCCGTCGTATCCCTGGCGGCAGCTGCAGATGGCCCGGTGGTTGATGACGTTGCAGTCGGCGTTGTCTCCGCAGTTGCACGGCGAGCGGCACTGGCGGTTCTGGCAGCTCAGCTGGGCCGGGCAGTCGTCGTTGCTCTGGCAGCCTGCCACCGGCGGCTGCTCCGGCTGCGGCACGCACTGGATGAACGGGTTGCCGATGTGGCGCGGCGGGCAGCTGCAGATGGCGCCGTGGTTGCGCACCTCGCAGCGCGCGTTGGGCGCGCACGGGCTGCGCACGTCGCACGGGCTCTGGCAGCGGCTGCTGATGCACGCCTGGTCGAAGCGGCACTGACTGTTGGAGACGCACTCGGGCCGCGCGATCGGAGGCTGCGGCGTCGGCGGCTCTGTAAACGAGATGGCCCGGTCAGTCGTCATGCTATGCTCTACAATCAGCTACGTTGCAACGGACACTTGAGGCACCTGTTCAAGTCTCCAATGTATATGTTTGATCGTATTTTATCGGCGACGTGGAGGGTAGACGTTACCAAGCCCGTAAGACATATCAGTTTGAGTGAAGCGACTCACCTCTCTGGCAGGCGTTGTACTGGCTCTGGACGTAGCCGGGCGGGCAGCGGCACACGGCGCGGTGCTGCTTCGGCTCGCAGATGGCGTTGGCGCCGCACGGGTCCGGCCGGCAGACGGGCATGCAGTTGGCGCGCTGGCACTGCTCGTCCTGGCTGCAGTCCGAGTCGACCGTGCACTCGGGCTCGGCCACCACCGGGGTGATGCACAGGCCCGAGCTGTCCAGCATCATGTCGGCCGGGCAGCGGCACACCAGGGTGCGGAACGGCGCCGTGTTCTGCACGGAGCACAGCTGGCCGCCGCGGCACGGGCTGATGCTGGCGCACGGGTCCTGGCAGCGCTCGGCGAGACAGGCCAGGCCCGGCGCGCAGTCCGTGTCCACCACGCACGCTGGCGCCGGCACCCGCGGCTCGTCTGAAACGCGCACCGAGCAGGGAGGCCACAGGTCAGACGGCGCAATATACATGCTGGTTACTAATGTTTAACTCACCGAGATAGGTAATTTGACTAAAAAATTAAACAATAACCATTATAAACTTGTCGAGATAGCTTCGAAACTATGCAGGGACATCACTATATCGCTATTTCGTTCCACGAAGACGGCGGCACGGCACTCACCCTTGATGCACTGGAAGAAGGCGTTGCCGTTGTAGCCGGGCGGGCACGTGCACTGCGCCTGGTGGTCGTCGGCCGTACAGGTGGCCAGGGAGGCGCACGTTCCGGTGCTGCAGACGGCCACGCACGCACCGCTGCGCGTCTCGCAGCGCTGGTGGTCGGCGCAGTCATCGTTGACGCGGCAGCCGACGTCGACGCAGGCCAGCAGCGGGTTGCCCTGGGTGCCCGGCGGGCAGTAGCACTGGGCGCGGTGCACGGTGACGCGGCACTCTGCGCGCCGGCCGCAGGACGTCGTCTGGCACGGGTCGCGGCAGTTCTCGGAGATGCAGGCGCGGTCGCGCGGGCAGTCGTCGTCGCGCGTGCACTCGGCTGTCGAAGGAGAGACGAGGCGAGGACGGCGGGTCAGCCGTGGCCGGCGTCGGCGCTCCGTTAGTCGGTGTTAGCCTGAGGGCAGAGGAGGTCGCGCGCGCGCCGTGGCGGCGGCGACAAGCGAGGGCGGCCACCGCCGGCGGAGCACTCACCTGGTCGGCGAGCGGCTCCGTCGGTCGGCTGGCAAGCGTTAGTGGATGGCACCCGTCTCGGCACGGAGGGCAGGAGAGCGGGGGGCGGCGAGGACGGTCGGCAGGACGTGTTAGTGTGCGGCGGCGGCGTCTGGGCCGCGGCGGCGGTACTCACGTCTGTAGCAGCGGCTGAACGGGTCGCCGAGGTAGCCGGCCGGGCAGGTGCAGTACGGCCGGTGGCTGACAGTGCGGCAGTTGGCGTTGGTGCCGCACGGGCTGGAGGTGCGGCACGGGTTCACGCAGCGCTGCTGCTGGCACGCCTGGGTGTCGGCGCAGTCCGTGTCCCGCTTGCACTCCGGCTCCGCCTCCGGCACTGTGGACACAACACTCTAGTCAGTGTCAGCTGCGAGGCACACCCGGGCGGGAACCCACATGGCGGCTCCGGCAGACGAGGACCCCGCGGAACTTTGTCTTTCACAGATAAATCTTAAGATTCGCCGAATGAATTAGAGGTGGTAAATCTGCCGATCTGCACTGGAGCTGGGTACCATTTCTCTTGAACATGCTGAAACGGAAGACACCATCACCAGGCTGCCCATCACGCTGTTCCTCGATTAGTATCTACATCGCGGAGTGACGTTACCTGGCGCGCAGCCCACATTGGGGTCCCCTGTGGTGCCGTTGGGACAGTAGCAGTAGGGCACGTGCTGGTAGGGCCGGCACGTGGCCGTCTCTGGGCACGAGTTGGCCACGAGACACGGGTTCTGGCACCGCTCGTCCAGGCACGAGTTAATGTCGTTGCAGTCGGCGGCGGCCTGACAGCGGCGGCTGGGTCGAGGCAGGGCTGCGGCGGCCGGGCGGGGCAGACCCCGGTTAGTGGGCGCCGTACAGCGGTGTGCTGCTCCAATTAGTTAGTGGACGCAGTTAGCAGGGACTGGCTTAGGCGCGTTATGTACACGGTTATGCATTATTAATCAGCCAGCTAATGGTTATGTGCATGGTTACTGCGGGGTCGCTAGTATGTAGGTGCAAGCTTCTATTTAGTCGGGGCTAGAGGCGGGAGGGGTAGTTAAAGTCTCAGTTTCTAGCAAATGTGCAATATTGCTAGGTTATAATTATTCATTATTAGTATTACTGAGCTAGGTACCGAAATGATCGCTATCTATGCTTGTCCCATTGGCACAACGGGGTGGGTTAGGTTAGTTAGCAGTTAGCATTGAACATAATGGTCAGCAGCGGGCGGGACAGTTTAGCCGGCGTCTGTTACCGAGTTTATTGCCCGCGTTATTCCGCACTGCGCGTTCCGTCTGGCCGTCCGCGGGCCACTTACCCTGGTAACAGCCCGTGTACGGGCTGCCCACGTAGTCGTCCGGACACTCGCACGTGGCGGCGTGGTTGGCCACGCGGCATATGGCGTTGGCCGCGCACGGGTTGGCCACACGGCACGGGTCGACACAGGCGCGGTTGCGGCAGGCCTCGGACGGCGGACACTCGGAGTTGTCGGTACAGCCGGGTGCCTCGGTGGGCGCTGCGCGACACAGGACAGCGGTCAGCGGGGCTGGACAGGACCGGTGCCGACCTGCAAAAGGACCGGTCACCACACACGCACACATACGAGCGATAACACAGCCGTGGCATGTTGTTAACACGAGGATGGATGAGCCTGGAGGACGAAGGACCCTGAAAGAAAGATGCGATGTTAGTGTGATGAACATTCGTAACAAGGGTTAACGCAAAGTATCCATATTCCATATCGTTGTAACAGTAGTAATAATGTTAGCCAAGCGGTCCATAACACTCACACATTCACAGAGGGATAATGGGTGGGACTGAGGACCCTGTAATAGAAGCACACGTCAGCTGGTCATATGCGAGCAGGCGGGATATGGTGACAAGGATGAAGGTTCGTTAATCGTTACTGATGTCGCGTTGTTAGCGTGTTAAGCACCTGTGAACATACAGACACGCACGGTCAATTACCCATAGACGACGGCATACGGGGTGCTGCCGACACATCTTTGCACATTTTACGTAACACAAGGTTCCCGTATGGCCCCTGTTTATTGCAATTGGCTCTCGGATCCCAATTTAAAGTGCATATCTTAAAACCAAGTTACGTTGCGGTTGAGCTAAGTAAGGACACGGTCTGAGCCGCTGATGGCGGTCCAAACTAGCGTCGGCGGTTGGGAGGGGGGGGGGGGGGCACTCACGGGGTCGGCACTCGACGTCTGGGTCGCCGATGAAGCCTGGCAGGCACTGACAGAGCATGGTCCTCGCCGGCAGGCTGTCCACCACGCGGCACTCGGCGTTCAGACCGCACGGCTGGATGGCCTGGCACGGGTTCACGCACCGGTGGCCCATGCACGCGTGCCGCGACGGACACTCGGCGTCGGTGGTGCACTCGTGGCGCGGCTCGTCCGGAACTGCGGGCGGCCAGAGGCGGCGTCAGAGACATTCACCAGCACTGCGTCGGTTCCGGGCCATCGGCAGTGGTAAGTACTCGGTGTTATATTTATTTAACGATTTTCACATGAATGTGTCGATGAGGAAATTTGCGGCAATTTACACCAATTGCGTATCTGACTTTGTTTAAAGTTATGCTCCTAGGGAAACGACGAGATGTCATGTCACTTACCGAATAAGTCAAAGATACTGAACGGTGCGTATGGCATCCTACCCTCAAGCGGCAGTTGACGCTTGATCGCCAGGTCTGTCGTTCGCACTCACCGGGGCTGCAGGAGACGGTCGGTTCGCCGGTATACCCGGGCGGGCAGCTGCAGCTGGCGCGGTGGTTGATGGCGCGACACTCGGCCAGACGGCCGCAGGCGTCCGTGCACACGGGCACGCACCGCTCGTCGCGGCAGGCGTGCGAGAACGAACACTGCTGGTCGGAGGTGCACTCGGGCTGCCGGCAGCCGGTGTACGGGTCGCCCAGCGTGCCCGGCAGACACTCGCAGCGCGCCTGGTGGTTGAAGGCGCGGCAGCGCGCGTTGGCGCCGCAGCTCTGGAAGGCGCACACGTCCTGGCACTGGCGGTTGATGCACGCCTCTGTGGACGGGCAGTCCGAGTTGGAGCGGCAGCCGAGCTCATAGCAGAGCACGTTCGGGTTTCCGGTCATGCTGTCCGGGCAGGAGCACACCTGGCGGTGACGGATCACGCGGCAGATGGCATTGCTGGCGCACACGCTCGGGTAGAGCGCACACGGGTTCTGGCAGCGCTCGCTGATGCAGGACTGCGTGAGTGAACAGTCGTCGTCCTCCTCACACTCGGGCTTGACGCTGGGCACCACGACAGGCGCCTGGGGCCGCTCGCGGCACTGCACGTGCGGATTGCCCTCGAGCGGCGGCGGGCACGAGCACTGCGCCCGGTGATTGTACACGTCGCAGACGGCGGCCACGCCGCAGCGGCCGATGCACGGGTTGACGCAGTGCAGGTTCACGCAAGCCATGGTGTTGGAGCAGTCCGAGTCGGCCGTGCACTCTGGCTTGCACTCGACGTACGGAGAGCCGAACAGGCCGGGCGGGCACGAGCAGACGGCAGTGGTGCCGCTCACCCGACAGATGGCACCGCGGCCGCACGGCGACGGGTTGCACGGGTCGGGCGGTGCACCTGAAGGGCAGGGAAGACCGTTTGTCATACAGGTCTGCGCATGTGATTCAATACTCACGATAAATCTTGATAGCGCAACGATGTAGGACCCGATCTGATAAGCGAACATTTTCGAAAATGACAAAGCGTCACTTTCCTTGTAACTAGCCAACGACGTGAACAATGACTACATGCAGTTTGTTTAAACGTTATCAGATACTTTTACGAAATGGTAGTGTCGGACGTGGTACTCACTTGGCGCCAGGTGACACATGCGGTATGGGTCTCCGATGTGACCCTGCGGGCAGACGCACGAGGCGATGTGGTTGACCACCTGGCAGTCGGCGTTGAGGCCGCAGTTGCACGGGTCGCGGCACTTCTGGCCGATGCAGGCCAGCTGTGGTGCACACTCTGAGTTGAGCACGCACTCGGGCCGGCAGCCGACGTACGGGTCGCCTTGGTACTCTGGCAGGCAGACGCAGGCGGCGGCCGTGCCGCGCCGCTTGCAGACGGCGTTGTCGCCGCACGGTGACGGCTGGCACGGGTCGCGCGGCTGCTCGGGCACCGGCGGCGGTGTGGCCGGCACCGGTCGGCACCCACTCGGCTGGTACGGGTCTCCCTGGTACCCCTGCGGGCAGCGGCAGCGCGGACGGTGGCCGAACACCTCGCAGATGGCGCTGCGCCCGCAGGTGCCCGGGCACGGGTCGCGACACTTCTGACGCTGGCAGCTGAGTGTGTTGGCGCAGTCCGAGTCCGACAAGCACTCGGGCCGGCAGCTGACGTACGGGTTGCCCTGGTACTCGGGCAGACACGTGCAAACAGCCACGCCGTTGTGGTTGCGGCAGCGAGCGTTCTCGGCGCATGGAGACGGGAAGCACGGGTCCTGCGGCCGCGGCGCCGGCGCTGAAACAGACACGAAGCCAGGTCAGCGCTCTGTCTGTCGGTGGGCTCCATGCAGCATGCATTCAAGGCAGGCACACATGCAGGCACGATGCTCGGCACAGTGTGTACCGACATGCTGGCAGTGAACATGAACAAACACTGGTGACAGAGCATGCAAACTTTGACGTGCAAACATTTTACAGGCATGCTAGAATACAAGGCCGAGCCGGCTTGTGACCGGTCCGGCGACAACCGGCAGAGATGATCGGCGCTGGACGGCGTCGGCGGGCGCTTACTGGAGGCGGGCACCGGCGCGCAGTAGCGCACCGGGTTGCCGGTGGTGCCTGCCGGACAGTGGCAGCGGGGCACGTGGTTGATGACGTCGCAGCGTGCCCCGGTGCCGCAGCTGCCTGGGCACGGGTCGACGCAGCGGAAGCCGATGCAGGCCAGGTGGCGTGCGCACTCGGCGTTGGTGGAGCACTCGCGGCGCGGCTGCTCCGGCTCGGCCGGGATGCACAGTGCCACGCCGTTCACCACGCGGCACGTGGCGTCGTCATCGTCATCTCCGCATGGGTTCGGGTCGCACGGGTCATTCTCCTGAGGTGCTTCTGCAGAGGGAACGCGCACGATGATGTAAGAACCGGAGAGAGTTCGGTGAAGTGTGTTTCGTCTCATTCTACTTAATGACCTCACCGCCGAGCATAAAACGAAGGAAATGAGCACTGAAATTTAATCATGTTCATTGTGAATATTTTTGTATAGCAAATCAATGAAACAAATCATCAAGGTTCAAAATTACCGATCCGCTAGAGCATAAACAGGCACAGTGACAAGTTCCCTAAACTCACCCGGTCTCGGATAGCATCCTCGGAACGGATCGCCAATATAGCCGGGCAGGCACGTGCAGATGGGGTTGTGGGCGCGCACCACACACTGTGTGAAGGCGCCGCACGTGCCCGGGCAAGGGTCGATACACTTCTCTCGGACGCAAGTCTCGTCGAACGGACAGTCGGAGGGCGTGCGACACTCCGGCCGGCAGCCGACCGTCGGATCGCCAAGGTAGTCGGCCGGACACGCGCACACGCCCACGCCGTTGACGGCACGGCACGTGGCGTACGTGCCGCACGGGTTCGGGTAGCACGGGTCGCGCACCAGCGGGGGTGCAGCCGGCTTCGAGGCTGCAAGTGATGATAAAAAAATATATGAATGCACGGGGAAAACTGGGGATGTGGAGATATGTCAACGAAGGAATAATACTAATGGCGTCATTGCAAAATTTAGCATAAATGTAGCTAAAATCATTGGTTGTCCAACAGGCAACTAACCTAGTTGCTCCACGAATACTTACTCGACGGGACCGGGTAGCAGCTGGAGAATCCGTTGCCGGTGTAGCCCGCAGGACACGAGCACATCGGGACGTGGTTGATAACACGGCAGTCGGCATTGAGACCGCACATTCCCGGGCACGGGTCGCGACACTTGCGGTTGGAGCAGTGCTTGTCGCGCGCACAGTCATCGTCCAGGACACACTCTGGCCGACAGCCCGAGTACGGGTCTCCGAAGTACTCGTCCTGGCAGGAGCAGACGGCGACACCGTTCTTCTCCCGGCAGTAGGCGTTGGCTCCGCATGGCGACGGGTTGCATGGGTTGCCCACCACCGGCTGGCGCGGCGGCAGCGTCGTTGGTACCGGACGGCACGCGACGAACGGATCGCCCGTGTAGCCGGCCACGCACAGACAGAGCGGCGCGTGGTTCTGAACGCGACACTCGCTGTTGACGCCGCATACGCCGATGCATGGGTCGACGCACTTCTGCGAGACGCAGGCCTGGTAGCTGGGGCAATCGGAGCTGACCACACACTCTGGCCGGCAGTTGGGTGGCGCTCCCAGGTACTCCGGCAGACAAGAGCAGGTTGGACGACCATTTACCTCCTGGCACTGCGAGTTGGGCCCGCATGGGTTCGGGAAGCAGGTCTGCCTAGGTGTCTCGTCATCTGAAAGAAAATTGTGGTCCGGTTAAGACCAGACGGAGGATAAAACAAAATAAAACAGCATTAACAACTGTCTTCTTCCGACTCTGCCTTTACCCATATACTTTTACGTGTGTGAGAGCAATGATTCGACATGAACACGTAATGAAGTATGTTGAGTGATGTATAGACAAATAGATATATATTGAGTAGGAAAAACATACAGCACATGGGTGGACGCGTTTCGTCAGAGACTTTTTCAACACCCGAATAACGACAAAACAATACGAACACACAAGAACAAAGCTAGTTCGCCGGTCGCCGTTCGTATTGTTTTGTCGTTATTCGGGTGTTGAAAAAGTCTCTGACGAAACGCGTCCACCCATGTGCTGTATGTTTTTCCTACTCAGTAATGAAGTATACATACGTCCAGTCTCTTAATTTAAAGTACCGCGCAAAGTGATGGTGGATCCATCAAGCCTGACCGAGGAAGGGCCTGCTATACTTTGAAAGTCACCGAACCAATTGACTTGAGGAATGGACGAGGATGTCCATTGCTTCGTTGACTCAAATTTAGCAGTCCTTTCTCGGTCAGGCTTGATGGATCCACCGCTACTTTGCGCGGTACTTTCAAGACAGACAGTACGTTTATCTCACTTACCAGGCTCGGGACGGCAGACGGTGAAGGGGTCGCCGCGATAGCCTTCGTTGCAGCGGCAGATGGGATTGTGGTTTTGCACCGTGCACTGTGCGTTTAGGCCGCACACGCCCGGGCACGGGTCTCCGCACTTCTGGCGCATACACGCCTGAGAGAACGAGCACTCCTCGTTGGTGACGCACTCGGGCCGGCAGCCGGAGATCGGATCGCCGCGAGGGTAGCCCGTCCGGCACACGCACTGCGCCACGCCGTTCTTCTCCTGGCAGTCGGCGTTCGGCCCGCACGGGTTCGGGAAGCATGGTGTGGCCGGCGGTCTGGTCACTGGCTCCTGGGGCGGTGGCACCAATCGGCACGACGTGAATGGATCGCCCTCGTAGCCAGCCGGGCAGTAGCACATGGCCACGTGCGCCTGCACTCGGCACTCGGCCCGGAAGCCGCAGACGCCGGGGCACGGGTCCACGCACTTGTTGCGTTCGCAGGCCTTGGAGCGATCGCAGTCTGCGTTACTTTCACATTCGGGCCGGCAGCGCTCGTATGGGTTGCCGAAGTACTCTGGTAGGCAGCTGCAGACACCGATGTCGTTGTGGACGCGGCACTGTGCGTTCTGGCCGCACTTGCCAGGGTAGCATGGATTTCTTGGCTCGGCAGGTGCTGGTGTAGCTGAAACATAAAGTTCAGTTAAACTTTAGTAATATCACAAGAATGAAAAATGTTGAACGTATTGAAAAAAAAGTACTGTAAATGAACGTAAATTATGCACGGACATGCAATCGACGGCAAGTAACAACACTCACTCTGCGGTATGGGAGAACAGTATCTGTAGGCGTCTCCCGTGTATCCTGCGTTGCAAGAGCAAGTAGGAATGTGGTTACGCATGTTGCAGACTGCATTGGTTCCACAGAAGCCAGGGCAGATGTCCTGACACTTCTGGCTGACACAGGCCCTGTCCGAGGAACAGTCGTCGTTGAGCACGCACTCCGGTCGGCAGTTAGGCGGCGCACCCTGGTACTCGTCGCGACACGAGCAGGCGGCACGGCCGTCCTGCACGCGACACACCGAGTTGGGACCGCACGGGCTCGGCTGGCATTGGTCGCCGACGGCGGGCCGCGTTACCGGGGCGTCGTAGCAGGCGCGGTACGGGTCGCCACTGAGGCCGGACGGGCACGAGCAGCGCGGCTGGTGGTTCACCACGCGACACTCGGCCCGATGACCGCACGTGCCCTCACACGGATCGCGGCACTTGAAGCCGATGCACGCCTTGTCCGAGACGCACTCCGAACTGGAGACGCACTCGTGGCGACACCGGTCGAGTGGGTCGCCGATGAAGCCCGGCAAGCAGGTGCAAAGCGCCACGCCGTTCATCAGGCGACAGTTGGCATTCGGGCCGCACGGAGAAGGCACGCATGGGTTCGCCGGCTCTTGGGGCCGGACCGCTGCAAAAAAAGAGCTCGTCAGATGCATTCCAAATTTCAAATGCATTGTATCGCTGAGCTGCGATACAATCAGCTGAGTCTTGGATCAATGGTTACTTGCTTGTGCAGCAACAATTGCAATCATGTATAATTTTATTGAAGGTGACAGGAAAAAGGTAATATAACTATAAAGTACCAATATAAATCAATTAAATAAGTATTTCGCCTGTTTTCGATGTAATTCAATCATCCACTCACGTTCAGCGGGCTTGAAGCGACACTGGACGAACGGATCTCCGATCATGCCTTCAGGGCAGTAGCAGCTTGCAATGTGGTTGACAGCGTTGCACACAGCCTCCACGCCGCAGGTGCCTGGACATGGGTCCACACACTTGAGGTCGCGACTGCAGGCCTTGTCGCGCGAGCAGTCCTGGTTGAGCAGGCATTCTGGCCGGCAGCTGACGTACGGGTTGCCAAAGAAGCCCTCGATGCACTTGCACACCGCGATCGAGTTGCGCTCCTCACAGTTGGCGTTGGAGCCGCATGGCGACGGGAAGCAAGGGTCGACCTTTACCGGTGCTGTCGGTCTCGGCGTTACTGAAACCACACAATCACCATTAAGACGCTTCGCATGAGGTGCCTACAAGGACAATCAACATTTTAATTTACTTATCGTGTAAAGGCGTTACGCACAAAATACGTTGTAGACAATACAAAAATGTTGTTCTTTCCTTATGATCTAACGTGAACGAAGAAACATGTAACTATTAGCAAATATCTTGGACCAAACGTAATGTACATTAATTTCAAAAGTTATCAACAATAAAACCGACAAGCCTTATCAATCAAATCAACTACCGTCAACTCCAAAAACGGTAGGGGAGAGTGGGGAAAGATGCCCAGGGTTTGACTATGTCATATATTATTCGAAAATGACGATCGGAAAGCCAAAACTTGGAGTTTCAACGGAAGCCGACATCATTTTTCTCCAAAAATATCACACTTTCGTGCCTGAAATATGATAACTTTTTTTTGCTATTAAGCATTTTCCTGAAGAAGTGAAAGGGGGCATCTTACCCCACAGGGTGGGAAAGACGCCCCCTGGCGTTGGGTAAGATGCCCCCTGCACTATAAGTGACATAAATAGGCACGTGAATCGCCTGAACGAATCAGTAGTCCCTTCGAGCCTGCAGTAGACACCAAACGTCATCGTAAGGGCCCTCAAAAGTAGTCGTAAGGGGCTTCAGAGGTCATCGTTAGGGCCATCATAGTCCAGCGTGGCCAAACAAGCCTCCGTGGTGGCGTTCGGAGACCACTGTGGGGCCCTTATAGGTCTTTATGATGCTTGAGGGCCCTCGAGCCCATCGTGGGGACCTCAGATGCCAGCGCGGCCCGTGGAGCCAACGTGGGAGCCCTCAAAGGATGTCGTGAGGGGCCCTGGAACCAATAATGGGGCCCACAGAGGCCGTCGTGAGGGCTCTCAGAGTCAGATGCCGCCCAAAAAGTCGCTGTGTGGGCCGAAAGACCGGCATGGGGAGCACCCGACCGTACCGGACTCTCAATAGTCCCAGATCGGCTTTTGTCTCTCATCACAAGTATGTACTAAATGATTTGACGGGCTGCTTGAAGGACAGCCTACGGATTTAGGGGGGCGTCTTTCCCCATCAGGACAGGGGGCATCTTACCCCAAGGTACCGAAGTAACATTAAATCAGCACCATTTGTAAGCCATAAAACTACAACCTGAAACAAACTGTTTGGGACACAGTACACGCATGTTAATGTTTCACGACTATAGCAAGGGACGCAAAAATTATCTACCTTCTTTGATATTTACAATGTTTTGACGCCGAAATATTTTTTGAAAGCAGCAAATAAAAAACATGCAATCACCAGCCAGCCGTTGCCCAACTGAGCTTCGCAAATTTTTGTGCAGTTAACAAGGCAGGCTTCCGCTTTACGCTAAGGACATTAATTTCCAGGTTCGATTCTTTGTTTCCCCGCTAGAGGGGGTGGGGCGTCTTTCCCACCCTGGGCATCTTACCCCACTCTCCCCTACTTTACTACTTTGCACATGTTATGATGGGTGACATTTAAATAAAGATCAAAAAGCTTCACCTGGTATTGCTGAGCAGAGCTGATAAGCGTTTCCAGTGTAGCCTGGCAGACAGAAGCAGAGTGGGTTGTGATTCTGAACGCGACACTCGGCGTTCTGGCCGCATGCGCCGATGCACGGGTCGACGCACTTCTGCGAGACGCAGGCCTGGTAGCTGGGACAATCGGAGCTGACCACACACTCTGGCCGGCAGTTGGGTGGCGCTCCCAGGTACTCCGGCAGACACGAGCATGTCGGACGACCATTTACCTCCTGGCACTGCGAGTTGGGCCCGCATGGGTTCGGGAAGCAGCCCTGTTTCGGTGTTTCCTCTGTGAAAATAGAAAGCAGTAGTCAGAGACCAGCACGATACGTAGTCTGTTGGTATTGTTGTCACGGTGAGCACCTATGATGCTAACAGTTCAGTAAGCTACTTCTAGTGAAACGCATAGAGCTTATTTTAATATTTTTTGGAAAGCTTACAAAAACATTATTTCCATTTTAAGCAAAAGAGGTTGATATAAATCAACAGCAAATGGTAGGAAGTCAAAGCAAAGAACTTACGTGGAATTGGTGAGCAGTATCCGTATGCATTGCCTTGGTATCCCTGCTTGCAGTTGCACATTGGGTTGTGATTGAACACTGTGCACAGGGCGTTCGTGCCGCACACACCGGGACAAGGATCAACGCATTTCTGCTGAGAGCCACACGCCTCTGACTGGGAACAGTCGGCGTTGGTGGTGCACTCCGGGCGACAGCCGGTAACGGGATCTCCCTTGGGGAAACCCGGACGACACTTGCAGACTGCCACAGCCTGTCCATCGTCATCATCGTCCTTTGCAATGCACTCGGCGTTGGGACCGCACGGGGACGGGTAGCAGGGATCGGTCTTTACCGGTTCCCTGGGTGGCTGAGTCGCCGGAACAGGGGTGCAGACAGTGAATGGGTCTCCTTGATAGCCGTCAGGGCAGTAGCACATAGCGAAGTGATCTTGCACTCGGCACTCGGCGCGGAAGCCGCAGACGCCAGGGCAAGGGTCAACGCACTTGTTCCTTTCACAGCCCTTGGACTTGACGCAGTCGCTGTTGACCACACATTCCGGCTTGCATCCCTCATATGGGTTGCCGAAGTACTCTGGTAGACAGCTGCACACGCCGATGTCATTGTGCACACGGCACTGGGCGTTCGGGCCGCACTTGCCAGGGTAGCACGGGTTTTGTGGTGCCTGGGGTCTCGGAGTGGCTGAAACAGAAGTTAATGTAAGGACAAGGCAAATTGACGATAAGGTTTTAAGTCATAAAAAAGTTAATATCATGATATTCATAATGGGTATCTATTTCATATTTAGTATTTACACTGTCTTCGTCTAAGATAACATGTAATGTCTAATTCATCTTATTTCTGAACTTACTTTGCGGAATGGGCGAGCAGAACCGATATGGGTCTCCAGTGTATCCCGCCTGGCAGTTGCAGACTGGATTGTGGTTCTGCACGAGACAGTTGGCATTCGTTCCGCACTGGCCCGGACAGGGATCCACGCACTTTTGTCCGTAGCACGCCTTATCGGCCGAACATTCAGGGTTGGTGACGCACTCAGGGCGACAGTTTGGAGGCGATCCCTTGTAGCCCTGTTCGCAGCTGCAGGCTGCCTTGTCGCCGATCACACGGCAGATAGAGTTCGGTCCGCATGGGTTCGGTGAGCACGGGTCATCCTTGACTGGCTGAGTGACCACCTCCAGCGTGCAACGGCGGTACGGGTCACCGACAAAGCCTGGCAGACAGTCGCACACCGGGTTGTGGTTTATAGCACGGCATTGTGCGTTCTGTCCACACACCCCGGGGCACGGGTCAACACATTTACGGTTGACGCATGTCTTATCCGATGAGCATTCGGCCGGCGATACACATTCAGGTCTGCAGCCCGTCGTGGGATCACCACGGTACTCGGGCAGACAGACGCAGACTGCCACGCCGTTCGCCTCACGGCACTGGGCGTTCGGTCCGCACGGATTCGGGAAGCACGGGTTCGATGGCGGCTCTGGGCGTGGAGGATCGTCAGGGATCGATCTACAGTATGAGAACGGATCTCCCGTGTAGCCGGCCGGACACAGACAGATGATGACGTGGTTAGCGACGAGACAGTCGGCGCCGGATCCACAGCGTCCAGGACAAGGATCGATGCACTTGTTTGCTTCACAGTTCTTGTCCAGTTGACAGTCTGTGTCCAGAACACATTCTGGTCTACATCCTTCATATGGATTACCGAAGAACTCTGGTCGACACTTGCATACGCCCAGACCATCTCTGTTTGTGCAATCCGCGTTGGCACCACATGGCGATGGGTAGCAAGGATCAACCTCAGCAGCCGGTGGTCTCGGAGTTGGGGCTGCAAGAAAAAAGTGAGCTGTGTCACCCTTTTGTTTTTGCGGTGATATTTTCCATTCCTTCTACGGAATGTCATCAATAGTCATGGATTGACACTTGAATAAACCTTGGAGCATGATTGCTATGAAATTGTACAGTAATGCGCAATGCAAAGCAAATAACTACTGATATGCAGAAGTCAACTTACCTATTTCCTTCACACATCGAGAGTACGGGTCTCCGGTGTATCCTGGAAGACATGTGCATCTGGGGTTGTGGCTGCGCACGGAACATTGTGCGTTAAGCCCACACTTGCCCGGGCAAGGGTCGACGCACTTCTCTTGAATGCAGGCCAGATAATTGGAGCATTCTGAGTTCACAACGCACTCAGGTCGGCACTGTGGTGGTGCTCCGATGTACGTCGGCTTGCAAGAGCATGCTGCACCTCCGTTCAAGACGCGGCATTCAGAGTACGGGCCGCATGGGCTCGGGAAGCACGGGTTCACCGGCTCGCGGGCTGAAAACAGAAGCGTTTTAGTGAATTAAACAACAGTATATTTGGGAAAAAATACAAGGGAAAAATGATTCATAAAATAGCCGACTTGGCTACATTTGAAATGCTTTAATTCTAGATACTATTCAATGAAATAAATTTAGTGCCTTCTCTATTAACAAGCATGTAATCAACGTATTGAATCTGTCAAGGAAACTTAAGTTCAAGCGTTTGTGATGACGTTGATGTTGCAACTTACGGACAATAGGAGCACAGGTACGATATGGGTCTCCTGAATAGCCGTCGTTGCACTGGCAAATCGGTTGGTGGTTGATTGTGCTGCATCGGGCGTTGGCTCCGCACAATCCAGGGCACGGGTCCACACACTTCTGTAGGGATCCACATGCCTGTGTCGGAGAACAATCCGCATTGACAGTGCACTCTGGTCGACAGCCAGTTACTGGGTCTCCCTTCGGGAATCCTGGGAGGCATTTGCAGATTGCTACTGCCTTTTCGTCGTCATCATTGTCCCTGGTAACGCACTCGGCGTTGGGTCCACATGGTGACGGGAAGCACGGATCGGTCTTGACTGGCTCCCTCGGCGGCTCGGTCACTGGAACTGGTGTGCATGCTGTGAATGGATCACCTCTGTATCCATCCGGGCAGTAGCAAATCGCCACGTGGTCTTGAACTCGACACTCTGCGCGGAAGCCGCAGACACCAGGACACGGGTCAACGCACTTGTTCCTTTCACAGCCCTTGGACTTGACGCAGTCACTGTTGACTACACATTCCGGCTTGCATCCCTCATACGGGTTGCCGAAGTACTCTGGTAGACAGCTGCACACGCCGATGTCATTGTGCACACGGCACTGGGCGTTCGGGCCGCACTTGCCAGGGTAGCACGGGTTTTGTGGTGCCTGGGGTCTCGGAGTGGCTGAAACAAAAGTTAATGTAAGGGCAACTGAAAAACTAAAGCCATTGAAAAAAAAACAATATGCCACTTGATAGTTGATTAGAATGACTTATTTAGGCTGCATATTGATCTTACCAGTCAGCTAGGTAATACAACGTAACCATAACTTACTTTTAGGAATGGGTGAGCAGAACCGATATGGGTCTCCAGTGTATCCCGCCTGGCAGTTGCAGACTGGATTGTGGTTCTGCACGAGACAGTTGGCATTCGTTCCGCACTGGCCCGGACAGGGATCCACGCACTTTTGTCCGTAGCACGCCTTATCGGCCGAACATTCTGGGTTGGTGACGCACTCAGGGCGACAGTTTGGAGGCGATCCCTTGTAGCCCTGTTCGCAGCTGCAGGCTGCCTTGTCGCCGATCACACGGCAGATAGAGTTCGGTCCGCATGGGTTCGGTGAGCACGGGTCATCCTTGACTGGCTGAGTGACCACCTCCAGCGTGCAACGGCGGTACGGGTCACCGACAAAGCCTGGCAGACAGTCGCACACCGGGTTGTGGTTTATAGCACGGCATTGTGCGTTCTGTCCACACACCCCGGGGCACGGGTCAACACATTTACGGTTGACGCATGTCTTATCCGATGAGCATTCGGCCGGCGATACACATTCAGGTCTGCAGCCCGTCGCGGGATCACCACGGTACTCGGGCAGACAGACGCAGACTGCCACGCCGTTCGCCTCACGGCACTGGGCGTTCGGTCCGCACGGATTCGGGAAGCACGGGTTCGATGGCGGCTCTGGGCGTGGAGGATCGTCAGGGATCGATCTACAGTATGAGAACGGATCTCCCGTGTAGCCGGCCGGACACAGACAGATGATGACGTGGTTAGCGACGAGACACTCGGCGCCGGATCCACAGCGTCCAGGACAAGGATCGATGCACTTGTTTGCTTCACAGTTCTTGTCCAGTTGACAGTCGGTGTCCAGAACACATTCCGGTCTGCATCCTTCGTATGGATTGCCGAAGAACTCTGGTCGACACTTGCATACGCCAAGACCATCTCTGTTCGTGCAATCCGCGTTGGCACCACATGGTGATGGGTAGCACGGATCAACCTCAGCAGCAGGCGGTCTCGGGGTCGTTTCTGAAAGGAAAAGGAAGCATCGTTAAGTCTATGCTTTTTATGATCCGTTTTTTTTTTCACTGCTTTTAGTGCTATGGAATACATGCAAAAGATGTGCATCAAAATTAATAACATGAATAGGTAATTTGTACTCACGTATTTCCCGAACACATCGAGAGTACGGATCTCCGGTGAATCCTGGAAGACATGTGCACTTCGGGTTGTGGTTGCGCAGGGAACACTGTGCATTAAGCCCGCACTTGCCCGGGCACGGGTCGACGCACTTCTCTTGAATGCAGGCCAGGTGGTTGGAACATTCTGAGTTCACAACGCACTCAGGTCGGCACTGTGGTGGTGCTCCGATGTACGTCGGCTTGCAAGAGCATGCTGCACCTCCGTTCAAGACACGGCATTCAGAGTACGGGCCGCATGGGCTCGGGAAGCACGGGTTCACCGGCTCGCGGGCTGAAACAAGTTGTGAACGTGTAAGCGGCGTTATGTCTTCGTGCCTCGTATTTTGTTGTTGTAAAAACGTATTGCACTATTTCCTTAAAATAGTACGAGTACATAAGTGTATAATAACCTTATGGGATAATAACTTTATGCTCATTCTTCGAGGGCTTTTTGGTTGATAATGTATGATTAAACTAATTAACTAGAATACAGGTTTACGCGATAACTGTACGTTCGGATAGATATGGTTGATGGGGCCATTAGTTGGGTTGTCAAAACTTTTATGTTTATATAAGTAGGGTGGTGTTTGGTAGTTACTTTATTTAATTGTATAGTAGGTAGGTATGGCTTTTCGAGGAGCACTACGGATCCAAAAGTTTGGACATTGAATTATTAAAAAAAACACGCCCGCCCGCCGCCAACCGCAAACGCCGCAAAAATAAAAACGACCGCCTCCAACCGCAAACAACACCGCAAACGCCGCAAAAAAACCGCCCGCATCGCGCGCCCGCCCGCCGCCAACCGCAAACGCCGCAAAAAATAAAAACCGCCCGCATCGCACGCCCGCTCGCCGCCAACCACAAACGCCGCAAAAAAATAAAAACCGCCCGCATCGCACGCCCGCCCGCCGCCAACCACAAACGCCGCAAAAAATAGAAACCGCCCGCCCGACCGCCGCCAACCGCAAACGCCTCGAAAAAATGAAAACCGCCCGCATCGTGCGCCCGCCCGCCCGCCGCCAACCGCAAACGCCGCAAAAGTAAAAATGACCGCCTCCAACCGCAAACAACGCCGCAAAAAATAAAAACCGCCCGCATCGCGCGCCCGCCCGCCGCCAACCGCAAACGCCGCAAAAATAAAAACCGCCCGCATCGCACGCCCGCCCGCCGCCAACCACAAACGCCGCAAAAAATAAAAACCACCCGCATCGCACGCCCGCCCGCCGTCAACTACAAACGCCGCAAAAATGAAAACCGCCCGCCCGACCGCCGCCAACCGCAAACGCCTCGAAAAATGAAAACCGCCCGCATCGTGCGCCTGCCCGCCCGCCGCCAACCGCAAACGCCACAAAAAATGAAAATCGCCCGCATCGCCCGCCCGCCCGCCGCCAATCGGGAACGCCGCAAAAAAACGCTATTCTACCCATATACATGTCCTACCCTACCTATACCCTACTTACACCCTACCCATACCCTACTCTTAGGCTATATGTCCACCTTACTCTAGTGCATTCCTATAACCACCAGTAAGTCGTAACATAACATACCTACGTTCTTAACATGAGCACTGTTAACTGCTCTAATTGTATTCTATCACATTCGTTTGTTCAATATCATGGATATTATTAATGCTTTAAATGGTGAAAGGTTGTTCTCTTGAAGATTGCCAGGTAGGTAATCGAGTGCGCATACCTACCCAATAAGTGCGGCTCGCATAGCCGCCCAAACATTCCTTTTTACTCGCTAGATGGCAGGAGCGTCAAGCGCCTGAATGGACGCTGTGCCGCAGTGCCGCGTCTGCCGTATCACCGCCTGAATGCACACTGTACCGCAGTACTGTCTCTAGGGCATATGCACACATATAGATGGACACGTTTGTTTTGAAATTATTTTTGTTTTAAGTGTGACCAGATTTACCCCCGAGAAACTGATCCTGGATACGCCTCTAGCTAAGGAAAAGTCGCCAAATTTCGAACCCCTAAGGCGATTTTCATCGACAGCAAAAATACTACAGGTGGGGGCCGATGCCCCCCCCCCCCCACCAGTAATAGGGTTGATCGATAATAATGTCTGACACTATGAAAAAGCAGGAATAGCTATAAGCAATTAATGTAACCCTAGCTGCTAGCTGCTAAGAAACACACTGAACCTAATCGCACCAAACCTGCACCAAATTTGTACTTACCAGATGGCCGTCATGAACCGGCTACTATCCATTGCGTGGCCACCCTACCTTTCCTGTTTCGCGCTAGATGGCAGAGCCATCAAACGCCTGATTGCATACTGTACCGCAATGACGGTGCTGGCGAATAAAGCCGCCTGAGTGCATACTGTACCGCAATGTCGTGTCCGCCGCCCAACCTTTCCTTTTACGCGCTAGGTGGCAGAACTATCAAACGCCTGATTGCATACTGTACCACAATGTCGCTTCTGGCGGTTATAGCCGCCTGAGTGCATACTGTACGGCAATGCCGTGTTGAAAGTTGGTTCGCTACTCTTAAATGAAAACACAGATTACGGTGGATATAGTGACGAAGAATGAGCGGCAGAGGATTTAGAAGCATTGAGACACATTATTAAATAAGACTACATGCCAACTTTCAGCGCAATCGGCCCAGTAGTTACCGAGATATTGCAATTGTTGCAAAACCAACACCTCTTCGTTTTGCACGTGGCACGTGCATAAGTGGTCACCCACGTACATCGGGAATAGTCCAATACTTGGTAGAAAGAATGAAGCTACCCTGCAAAAATTACCGCATGTAAATCGGTCAAGTGGTTGCTGAGATATAAGCCTCGCAAAAGCGTCACCACGGCCGGCCGGCCTAGAATACAGGTTTACGCTATAACTGTATAGATTCGAGACATATGTTTAAGGGGATTATTAGTTTGGTTGTTAAAACTTGTATGTTTATGCCAGTAGGGTTAAGTTTGTTTACTTACTTCATTTAGCTGTATGGTAGGCATGTAGGTATATGCGCTTTTCGAGGAGCGCTGCAGATCCGAAAGTTTGCTCGCTTCGCTCGCACTTGACTCGCTTCGCTCGCTTGATAATAAATTTATTTTATTTACCGGTGAAGCCCGTACCGAATACCTGTACCTGCGCCTATACCTGATCCTAATCGCAAACCTGTATTCTTTAAATCCACAGAGTTGACTTCCCGAGCTGGCTCTCATCGTTTTCACTCAGTTTGGCAAGCGAAGAAAATGAGCTTAGAGCGCGTGCTCTCTGCTCGGCGCCGGCCTCGGCCAGCATGGGGCAGAGATTCACGCGCTGACGCCGCACCCCTGGTCCGATTGCGCCCATCTTTTGATACGATGGTCCGCCCCACCCAAAGTTTTTGCCCAATAAATTTCACGTCGATACGCGGCGCCGTTCCGGCGCTTTAAGACACATAAGGCTGACGGATGGACAGACAACTTGAAATTTATTAAGTAAGATTAATATGCTGAAACGCACTATTTCCTCTCAAAATAATCAAGTATATGAGAGAACACGACATTGCGTGGAAATTTACGGTGCTCATCTGCACTGCATATTTTATCGTTACAATGCAGAGATGTGCAATTGAACAGTCTTGAGTCTATGCAATACTGATACTTACGAATTTCTTTGGTGCACACACGATAAGGATCTCCCGTGTAGCCGCTGTTGCAGCGGCAGATCGGCTGGTGGTTGATGGTTTGGCACAGGGCGTTCGAGCCGCAAAGACCTGGGCATGGATCAATGCATTTTTGCTGAGTGCCGCAGGCTTTCGTTTGCGCGCAGTCGGCACTGGTGATGCACTCGGGTCGGCAACCACTGAAAGGGTCTCCCTTGGGGTATCCTGGGCGACATTTGCACGTGGCAACACCGTTCTTCTCAATGCAGTCAGCGTTTGCTCCGCATGGCGTTGGATTGCACGGATCTGTCTCAACCGGGGCAGATGGCTGTGCTGTGAATGGAAGCGGAAACCATTGATTACTAATCGATGTCTCTTTTAAATACATGTATACAACTTTCTCCAGATAACTCGCAGCAGGTAGGTAAAAAAATATGCATGCATACTGTATCGTATATCTAAAATGTGTCCTCGATTACTATGCGTGAACCATTCAAATGACTTTGTCTTACGTGTGACTGGTATCGGTGTGCAGGCAGTGAATGGATCGCCCCTATATCCTTCCAGGCAGAAGCATATCGCCATGTGGTTTTGCACCCGACACTCGGCCCGGAATCCGCAGACGCCAGGGCACGGGTCCACGCACTTGTTGCGCTCACAGGCCTTGGAACGATCACACTCGGAATCTACCAAGCACTCCGGCTTGCATCCCTCATACGGGTTGCCGAAGTACTCTGGTAGACAGCTGCACACGCCGATGTCATTGTGCACACGGCACTGGGCGTTCGGGCCGCATTTGCCAGGGTAGCACGGGTTTTGTGGTTGTTCAGGTCTTGGAGTGGCTGAAAGACAGAGGTTATATGAAAACTCGCAATACGTCGCATTGCGATACAGCATTACATAAAATGGCACTTTACACAAACAATTGTAGGCAATTATATTGCTGTCGTTGCTTACCTTACGGCTTACGCGTGCTTGGGTTGGGACGCGCTGCTTCTGTTAACCATTTAATTGGCCTTCTCAAGTTGTTAATAGGTTTGGTAAACAGTTTATTTTATGATGAATAATTGTTTTATGATAAATAAAAGTATGCGAAAATCATTCAACGTTGTTCCCTTTGCCGCTTTTTCAACCACAATGCTTTCTCTGTTTTGCTGCTTTTTAGGTATAAATATACGTAAGGATTGCGTTATAGGTACCTACATTTTGAAGCTTTGATGCATTTTTTTTATTGAAAGTGTTGTCTTAGAATAGAAAAGTTCAGTTGGGATAATATTCATCCATTCATAGTAAACCACCGGCTGTCCCCACTATGTAGACCAGAGCATCGATATACGTAATCATGCGGAATTCGGCTGGCTGAGTCGGTAATTTCCTGATGCCTTTCACATTGCTGTAATTTGTCCATAGTCGGTATTTAGCCCTAGCAATCGTCTCCCAAGTATAACTCACTTGTTGGCACTGCTCTGCAGAAACTGTATGGATCGCCCACGAGGCCTGCCTCGCAGCGGCAAACAGGGTTGTGGTTGACCACGGTGCATTTAGCACCTTGACCACATTCGTCCCTGCATGGATCCACACACTTCTGTCCGATGCAAGCCAGGTGCTCGGCACAGTCCGTGTTCAGAACACATTCTGGTCGACAGGCTGGTGGAGCACCCTTGTATCCCTCCAGACAGGAGCAGGCGGCTCCGCCGTTCAGCTCCCGGCACTCCGCGTTCGGGCCGCACGGGCTCGGCTGGCACGGGTTTCCAGGGCGAGGTTGTTCGGCTAAAAGGAGGAGAGGAACATGCTTGAGCACTTAAACAGACATGCGATGCATTCGGGGGTAATGCAATGTCATGCTCATCATTCGGTAAAGTGCAAAAAGTCATGCTATCATGCAGTTTTCGAAAAAGCATGCATATAAAAAGGCTCTGAAAATATGCATATATACATAACGAAGTAAACATATCTTACGTCTGGTAACCACGCAGCGTCTGTAAGGATCGCCCTCATATCCTGGCAGACAGTTGCACCTGGGGTTGTGGTTGAGAACGCGACAACGCGCGCTAACACCACATAGACCAACACATGGGTCCTTGCATTTCTGGTTGATGCATGCCAGGGCCGGGGCGCACTCGGCGTTGGAGACGCACTCTGGTCGACATCCGATGGTGGGGTCGCCATGGTAACCAGCCACACAAGAGCACACGGCTGCGTTGTTGGCCTCTCGGCACTGGGCGTTCTCGCCGCAAGGCGATGGCACGCAGGGGTTCGTGTACTGAGGCTCAAATGGCGGTGGCGTCTGCGGCACCAGTCTGCAGTAGGAGAATGGATCTCCGGTGTGGCCCTCAGGACAATGACACATGATGCGGTGGTTGGCGACGCGACACTCTGCTCCTGTGCCACACTGGCCTGGGCACGGGTCCCTGCACTTGTTGTTGTCACAGTTCTTGTCCCGAGGGCAATCCGTGTCCAAGACACACTCTGGTTTACATCCGCTGTACGGGTTCCCGAAGTATTCGTCACGGCAAATGCATACCGCGACGCCGTTCTTGTCGCTACAATCTGCGTTGGCTCCACACGGTGACGGATAGCATGGGTCGGCCACTGCCGGTGCCGTCGGTGGCGGAGTTTCTGAGAAAGGATGAACATTATTAGCATTTTCTGAACCATTATTTACCAACAAAATTGACGTTTGATGGTATTTAGCCAAACGCGTTACCGACAGCATTTAAAGGGACGTTGTGAAAAACGTCGATCTTTTCCTACTATGCAAACATAGAGGTTATGTTAATGAGATTTTTAAGTGGTTTTTGCGACAGTTCATTTTATGATTGAAAAAGTCAGCATACGTTGCCTACATGTTAGGTAATGTGCCCATAATAACTACAGAGATCTATCAGGAACACTTACGTGGGATCGGTGTACAAAGCGAATAGGCGTCTCCTGTGAATCCCTGAAGGCATACGCATACAGGATTGTGGCTCTGAACCCGGCAGTCGGCATTCTGTCCACACGATCCTGGGCACGGGTCAACGCACTTCTGTGAGACGCAGGCTTGGTAACTCGGACAGTCCGTGTTGACCACACACTCTGGCCGGCAGTTGGGTGGCGCTCCCAGGTACTCCGGCAGACACGAGCATGTTGGACGTCCGTTCAGCTCCCGACACTGCGAGTTTGGCCCGCAGGGGTTCGGGAAGCAGGTTTGCTTGGGTGTCTTCGCTGAGAAAAAAGATGGATCATCTTATCATACATGAAGGCAGTATGTACATTAACAAAAATGTAATTCAGAAGTTCAGTGCAAATGAGGTTTGTCTTTTCATGGTGCTTACGTTTTATCTCAGTGCATCCTTGATAAGGCGATCCAGTATAACCAGCGTTGCAGGTGCAGAGCGGGTTGTGGTTGATGACTCTGCACGCGGCATTGTGTCCACACAGGCCGGGGCAGGGGTCGATGCATTTCTGCTGAGACCCGCATGCCAGAGTTTGAGCACAGTCGGCGTTGGTGACACATTCTGGCCGACAGCCGGTGTAAGGGTCGCCCTTGGGGAAGCCCGGAAGACACTTGCAGATCGCAACAGCCGAGTCATCATCGCGGTCCTTGGAGATGCACTCGGCGTTTGACCCACACGGAGATGGGAAGCAAGGATCGGCCTTTGCCGGTTCCTGCGGTGGCTGAGTGACCGGAACCGGTGTGCATGCTGAGAAGGGGTCGCCCTTATATCCTTCTGGGCAGAAGCACATGGCCACGTGATTCTGCACACGGCACTCAGCACGGAAGCCGCACACGCCACGGCATGGGTCGACGCACTTGTTGCGTTCGCAGGCCTCGGAACGATCACAGTCTGAGTGAATCACACATTCGGGCTTGCAGCCTTCATATGGGTTGCCAAAGTATTCTGGCAGACAGCTGCAAACTCCAATTCCATTGTGTACGCGACATTGGGCGTTCGGGCCACACTTTCCAGGGTAGCAGGGGTCTTGTTCCTGAACAACCGGAGCGAGAGTAGCTGAAAAAGGAAGGAGAGTATTAAAACTATTACATTACCTTGGCTAATAATGCGCTTCAATTGCACATCTAGTTCCAGGATATGCCTACTTGGAGAAAAATGCAAACGTCATAATTTGAAATAGCATTTGATTCAAATGTCTGAATGTAGAAACTCTCTACAGACTGTAGAGTAACTTTACATTTATTTGAAACAAGGTTGTGGCTGTGTATTAGAAGCAAGATTTTTTCTTAAAAAGCTATACGCTGCTTTTTAGAAAATCACGAAGAAACCAGAGATTCAAACGGCGTTTTCCCTCTTAACTCTTAACGTAGTGTTCAATCTTGTTTTTTTAACCCGCGCACCGACGGGGGTCTGCGCCAACTTAGTACCGACGGGGGGGGGGGCGGATGACCGCCCCCCCCTGAGATCTCGAGAACGAAGCAAGATAGCGACAAGCGGTAAACGGCATCGGATACGCACGGACAAGGTCTACAATTTTTACTGAGGTCATTTTCAGGTCAGGTCAAAGATGACGTCACAGGGGTCGAAAAAGTCAAAATGGCGGCGCTAGATATGGAGAGGGTTTTTCTCGAATAACTTTCGAAGTAGTCAAGATAGGAACAAACTAAGGGCATCATCGTGATCCTCTCGTCAATCCGCATCGAATGATATATATGTTGACCTCGAAAGGTCAAGGTCAAAGGTTGACCTCAGGTCACGTGACCTCGAGGTCATCATGTATATCATTCGATGCGTCTTGACGAGCTGAACACAATGAGACCATCCGCGCGGCTGTATCTTGTTCCTGTAAGGAGTTATTGGCAAAAAACCTTTGGTGACCTTTGATGACGTCACATGACCTTACAGCTGCCCAACAGCAAAACAGACCTCAAGGTAGTGAAGGTTGATCGTATGTGAAGTCATGTATGGTATATGGGGCCATTCCGACCCGTTTTAGTGGTAAAAACAGGGAGTTGATTTTTCCCCCATTGACTTATAATGGGGAGGTCGCGAAATTGACCTGACCTTAGGTCACCGACATCAAAATTCCGAGATATACAAATTGTAGCTACTAATGACCTAATAACATCCTGCGACTTTCAAAGGCCTCCGACATCTACTGTAGCTCTGGCACGGTGACAAAGTTGCAAAAAAGTGACTTGAGGTTGGGTCATTCAAAGTGACCTGGTGACCTGACCTTAAAAGTTAGGAGGTTCAAACTTGCACACCATGTGTAAAATTGATGAGGTTATAGTCATACCAAATTTCGCGGCGCTACGCGCCGCGGTTTTCCCGTTATCCGCGAAAAACCTCAGGGGGGGGGCGGATATCCGCCCCCCCCCGTCGGTGCGCGGGTTAAATTATGTTTTTCGCTAACACTTTCCAAACAAGTGAGAAATTAAAAAAGGAAAGTTCTAGGTTGGCAGTATCACCTTAGAATTCTGAAAAGATAAAGGACTCACGATTTGAGACTACTCTTATATTTTCAAAGCGTGATACATTCACCAAACGTTTTTTATTCACAAAGGAATTCCTCTATTGAATTTCCTTATCAAAAGTTTGTAAACATCTAACGAAACTTACTTTCTGGAATGGGCGAGCAGTATCGGAATGCATCTCCTGTGAATCCCGTGTCGCATCTGCACACTGGACGATGGTTTTGTACAGAACACCTTGCGTTCTGGCCGCACTGTCCTTGGCACGGATCGAGACATTTCTGTCCGATGCAAGCCAGGTGGTCGGCACAGTCCGTGTTCAGGACACATTCTGGCCGACAGGCTGGTGGAGCACCCTTGTATCCCGACAGGCAGGAGCAGGCCGCTCCGCCGTTCTTGACACGACACTCCGAGTTCGGGCCGCACGGACTCGGCTGGCATGGATTTTCGTCACGGGGTGGATCGGCTGCAGAAAAGACTCAGTGTAAGCATTCGATTGGATTGGGTCGCCGTCATTGGTAACTATATAATAAATTTGGAATCTTAGTTCGGTTTCAGACAAGCTATTTACCACGGTCATTAGTAATCAAAATTATAGGTACTTTGGTATTACCTACTTGCAGTCACTCAATAAAGTATTTAAGGCGGAAAGTGTCTTACTTCTGGCAACAGCGCAGCTCCTGTAGGGATCCCCTTCATATCCTGGCAGGCAGTTGCACCTGGGGTTGTGGTTAAGGACTCGACATTGTGCGTTGACTCCACAGAGACCGGCGCACGGGTTCTTGCATTTCTGGCTGATGCATGCCAGGGCCGGGGCGCACTCGGCGTTGGAGACACACTCTGGTCGACATCCGATGGTGGGGTCGCCATGGTAACCAGCCACACAAGAGCACACGGCTGCGTTGTTGGCCTCTCGGCACTGGGCGTTCTCGCCGCAAGGCGATGGCACACAAGGGTTGGTGTACTGAGGCTCAAATGGCGGTGGTGTTTGCGGTACCAGTCTGCAGTAGGAGAATGGATCTCCGGTGTGGCCCTCAGGACAACTGCACATAATGATGCGGTTGACGACGTGACACTCTGCTCCTGTGCCACACTGGCCTGGGCACGGGTTTCTGCACTTGTTGTTGTCACAGTTCTTGTCCCGTGGGCAATCCGTGTCCAGGACGCATTCTGGTTTACACCCACTGTACGGGTTCCCAAAGTATTCATCACGGCAAATGCATACCGCGACGCCATTCTTGTCGCTGCAATCTGCGTTGGCTCCACACGGTGACGGATAACATGGGTCGGCAACTGCCGGTGCCGTCGGTGGCGGAGTTTCTGGAAAGCGAAACAGAACGGTTAGTTGTTAATACCTACAAAATTATTCAACAAGGTAGCTTTAAATAAGAGCCCTAATGTGTGTCTGCAGCAAAAAGTTTGTCAAAATTCTGCAAAAAAAAAACATAACAATACGTTATTGGACTTCCTACGTACGCGTATATACTCACGAGGAATGCGGTTGCAGAGGGCATATGCGTTGCCCGTGAACCCAGGCAGACATGAGCAGACTGGGTTATGACTTTGGACCCTGCAGTCGGCATTCTGTCCACATGATCCTGGGCACGGATCGACGCACTTCTGAGAGACGCAGGCTTGGTAACTCGGACAGTCAGTGTTGACCACACACTCTGGCCGGCAGTTGGGTGGCGCTCCCAGGTACTCCGGCAGACACGAGCATGTTGGACGTCCGTTCAGCTCCCGACACTGCGAGTTGGGCCCGCAGGGGTTCGGGAAGCAGGTTTGCTTGGGAGTCTCCTCTGCAAATAAAAAGTATGTTTACTGTTAATTTTACTTTAAGTCAGATACGTTTCAGAACAGTGTGTGCTCGCCATATATGCCCTTTCCAGCATTACAGTCATCAACATCAAGGGGCGAAGCTTTGGAGCTAGTTGAAGACAAAAGCCATATGATATGATCCTAATGTTATTCTGATTCATTAGTAAGTTATATGACAGTGTGTCAGTAGTGATGTCAATTATGGAAAATAATGATGCCGATACCAAACCAAATACCATCAATACTCATGAGAAAATACCGAAACCGAATCGACTTGGGAATACGAGGGAAAATGCAACGTTTTACCCGTCACATATTCACATAAGATACGATTCATTTTACGAACAAACTACCAAATGCATAAGCCTTGACATACCAAATAACAAGTTGGTATCGGTTTGGTATCGGTATACCAAAACGTTTATCCGATTGACATTTATAAATGTGTGTAATGCTATGTACTGCCTTACGTTTAATTTCGTTGCATCCTTGATACGGCGATCCAGTGTAACCGGTGTTACAAGTGCAGAGTGGGTTGTGGTTGATGACTCTGCACGCGGCATTGCGTCCACATAGACCGGGGCAGGGGTCGATGCACTTTTGCTGAGATCCGCATGCCCGAGTTTGAGCACAGTCGGCGTTGGTCACACATTCTGGCCGACAGCCGGTATACGGGTCGCCCTTGGGGAAGCCCGGAAGACACTTGCAGATTGCAACAGCCGAGTCGTCATCATCACGGTCCTTGGAGATGCACTCGGCGTTTGATCCACACGGAGATGGGAAGCAAGGATCGGCCTTTGCCGGTTCCTGCGGTGGCAGAGTGACCGGAACCAGTGTGCATGCTGAGAAGGGGTCGCCCTTATATCCTTCTGGGCAGAAGCATATGGCCACGTGGTTCTGCACACGGCACTCAGCACGTAAGCCGCACACGCCACGACAGGGGTCGACGCACTTGTTGCGTTCGCAGGCCTTGGAACGATCACAGTCTGAGTGAACCACACATTCGGGCTTGCAGCCTTCATACGGGTTGCCGAAGTACTCTGGCAGACAGCTGCAAACTCCAATTCCATTGTGGACGCGGCACTGGGCGTTCGGGCCACACTTTCCAGGGTAGCAGGGGTCTTGTTCTTGAACAACTGGAGCGACGGTAGCTGTGAAAAAGACATACATACTTGGTAAGTAATGTTTTCCAATATGAATGAAATAATCTTTCTTAATTTATGTGTTGTGAAAGAATTTATCTATAGCCTAATAATAAACCATATAGTTATATAAGCGTGGGAAGGCCGCTGGAAGTTGATTTAAAAATCAGCTAACACAGATGTCGAGTAGGCAAATGAAATAAAGTAGTGCACTTGTACTTACTTTGCGGAATAGGCGAGCAGTATCGGAACGGATCTCCTGTGTAGCCAGAGTCGCATCTGCACACTGGACGATGGTTTTGTACAGAACACCTGGCGTTCTGGCCGCACTGTCCTTGGCACGGATCGAGACATTTCTGTCCGATGCAAGCCAGGTGGTCGGCACAGTCCGTGTTCAGGACACATTCTGGGCGACAGGCTGGTGGAGCACCCTTGTATCCCTCCAGACAGGAGCAGGCAGCTCCGCCGTTCTTGACACGACACTCCGAGTTCGGGCCGCAAGGGCTCGGCTGGCATGGGTTTTCGTCACGGGGTGGATCAGCTGAAATGAAATTCGTAAATATTACATTTTTTCCAGGAAAAGTCGTCTCACCATAAATTCTACCAAATATCATGTTATCTTCAATCTAAATGATTTGCGCTCTTAAAAGTAATGGTAAGTAGAAGGTACCTACTTTGGACAATGACCTATGAGTTATCCCAGAATTGTCAAGCCTGTAGGGGCATAAACACATTGGTACCTAAGCTGATGGATGTAGATTTTAAGTCGTTTAAAATTATGATGATTGTGCTGAATTCATACTTACTTCTCGAGATAACGCAGCTCCTGTAGGGATCTCCCTCATATCCTGGCAGGCAGTTACACCTTGGGTTGTGATTGAGGACGCGGCATTGTGTGTTGACTCCACAGAGGCCGGCGCACGGGTTCTTGCATTTCTGGTTAATGCAAGCCAGTGCCGGAGCGCACTCGGCGTTGGAGACGCACTCTGGTCGACATCCGATGGTGGGGTCGCCATGGTAACCAGCCAAACAAGAGCACACAGCTGCGTTGTTGGCCTCTCGGCACTGGGCGTTCTCGCCGCACGGCGATGGCACGCAGGGGTTGGTGTACTGAGGCTCAAATGGCGGTGGCGTTTGCGGCACCAGTCTGCAGTAGGAGAATGGATCTCCGGTGTGGCCCTCAGGACAACTGCACATAATGATGCGGTTGACGACGTGACACTCTGCTCCTGTGCCACACTGGCCTGGGCACGGGTTTCTGCACTTGTTGCCGTCACAGTTCTTGTCCCGAGGGCAATCCGTGTCCAGGACACACTCTGGTTTACATCCACTGTACGGGTTCCCGAAGTATTCATCACGGCAAATGCATACCGCGACGCCATTCTTGTCGCTGCAATCTGCGTTGGCTCCACACGGTGACGGATAGCATGGGTCGGCCACTGCCGGTGCTGTCGGCGGCGGAGTTTCTGGAAAAAGGAAGAATTTCTTCATGATAATCTTTCGACCATCGATCGAATCATAGCTTTTATCAACTTAACACACAAGGTAGGTTATTTCAGCTTTTTAATAAAATGTGAATGTACGGAAGACATTATTCAATGATGAGAACTTACGAGGAATGCGAGTGCAGAGAGCATATGCGTTGCCGGTGAATCCAGGTAGACAAGAACAGGAAGGATTGTGGCTCTGAACCCGGCAGTCGGCATTCTGTCCACATGATCCTGGGCACGGGTCAACGCACTTCTGTGAGACGCAGGCTTGGTAACTGGGACAGTCAGTGTTGACCACACACTCTGGCCGGCAGTTGGGTGGCGCTCCCAGGTACTCCGGCAGACACGAGCATGTAGGACGTCCGTTCAGCTCCCGACACTGCGAGTTAGGCCCGCAGGGGTTCGGGAAGCAGGTTTGCTTGGGTGCCTCCGCTGAAAAAATATGATACCTATTATTAAACAGATATTATGAACGTTTAAATTTCAAAATGCATTTAATGACTGAATTTCAAAATTTTCTGCCTTAATGTTTCAATTGATTGAACCTCTTTTTTAAAAAAGAAAGATTTTAAATGCAGAAGTTAATTATTAAGTAATGCATATAAAAACTTACGTTTTATTTCGATGCATCCTTGATACGGCGATCCAGTGTAACCGGTGTTACAAGTGCAGAGTGGGTTGTGGTTGATGACTCTGCACACGGCATTGTGCCCACACAGGCCGGGACAGGGGTCGATGCACTTCTGCTGAGACCCGCATGCCCGAGTTTGAGCACAGTCGGCGTTGGTGACACATTCTGGCCGACAGCCGGTATACGGGTCGCCCTTGGGGAAGCCCGGAAGACATTTGCAGATCGCAACAGCCGAGTCGTCATCATCGCGGTCCTTGGAGATGCACTCGGCGTTTGACCCACACGGAGATGGGAAGCAAGGATCTGCCTTTGCCGGTTCCTGCGGTGGCAGAGTGACCGGAACCGGTGTGCATGCTGAGAAGGGATCGCCCTTGTATCCCTCTGGGCAGAAGCACATAGCCACGTGATTATGTACACGGCACTCAGCACGGAAGCCGCACACGCCACGACAGGGGTCGACGCACTTGTTGCGTTCGCAGGCCTTGGAACGATCACAGTCTGAGTGAACCATACATTCGGGCTTGCAGCCCTCATACGGGTTGCCAAAGTATTCTGGTAGACAACTACAAACTCCGATTCCATTGTGTACGCGGCACTTGGTGTTCGGGCCACACTTTCCAGGATAGCAGGGGTCTTGTTCTTGAACAACCGGAGCGATAGTAGCTGTGAAAAGGGCATTTCTTAATGCTGTATAGTTATAAGAGACCTAAGGATCAATGTTTTTCTTTTGACATAAAGCTTCTAGATTACTTATTCTTAGACTATACATCTGCTTCTAAGCAAACTGATCCATACATGATCCAGAAATATTAAAGGGCGTAAGTACATTACACCAGCGAACACTGTTGATAACTTACTTTGAGGAATTGGCGAGCAGTATCGGAAGGCATCTCCTGTGAATCCCGTGTCGCATCTGCACACTGGACGATGATTTTGTACAGCACACCTGGCGTTCTGACCGCACTGCCCTTGGCACGGATCGAGACACTTTTGTCCGATGCAAGCCAGGTGGTCGGCACAGTCCGTGTTCAGGACACATTCTGGCCGACAAGCTGGCGGAGCACCCTTGTATCCCGGCAGGCAGGAGCAGGCCGCTCCGCCGTTCTTGACACGACACTCCGAGTTCGGGCCGCACGGGCTCGGTTGGCATGGATCCTCGTCACGAGGTGGATCAGCTGAAAAGACAGTGCATACCGGTAATTTTAATTCCTAAACGCACTGGGTATCAGTCTGGATTTGAATTAAAGTATGATAAATATGACTGTATCATACCGTACATATTTATCATACTTTTATACAATTCTTCAACGAATAACCGTTGGACCTGCAATAATGATGTGTCATACAGTCTGTACCTATGACATATCATTATTGCAGGTGCATTCGTTGAAGAATTGTATTAATTCTATGTCCCATTCATTTTCTATTTAGTTTTAGGACTTAATGATCTTAGAAACAGTGTCGTTTTGAATACAACAAAAACATTGTATCATGACCTATCAATGAGAACGTCAAAACCACTATTGGTAACGAGGCAGCATTATACTCACTTCTTACAACAGCACAGCTCCTGTAGGGATCCCCTTCATATCCTGGCAGGCAGTTGCACCTGGGGTTGTGGTTAAGGACTCGACATTGTGCGTTGACTCCACAGAGGCCGGCGCACGGGTTTTTGCATTTCTGACTGATGCATGCCAGCGCCGGAGCGCACTCGGCGTTGGAGACACACTCTGGTCGACATCCGATGGTGGGGTCGCCATGGTATCCAGCCACACAAGAGCACACAGCTGCGTTGTTAGCCTCTCGGCACTGGGCGTTCTCGCCGCAAGGCGATGGCACGCAGGGGTTGGTGTACTGAGGCTCAAATGGCGGTGGCGTCTGCGGCACCAGTCTGCAGTAGGAGAATGGATCTCCGGTGTGGCCCTCAGGACAACTGCACATAATGATACGGTTGACGACGTGACACTCTGCTCCTGTGCCACACTGGCCTGGGCACGGGTTTCTGCACTTATTGTTGTCACAGTTCTTGTCCCGTGGGCAATCCGTGTCCAGGACACACTCTGGTTTGCATCCGACGTAAGGGTTCCCGAAGTATTCGTCACGGCAAATGCATACCGCGACGCCATTCTTGTCGCTGCAATCTGCGTTGGCTCCACACGGTGACGGATAGCATGGGTCGGCCACTGCCGGTGCTGTCGGAGGCGGAGTTTCTGGAAAGCGAAACAATGGTTTTGTGTATACCATGGATGAGTTGATGTCACGAGACAAGCCCGATAATATCATTCCTTAAGGGATTTGTGATGAAACGGTAGGCGACATGTAATTCCATAAAAAAGGAAATTGCACATTGTTTCAAATACAGTATAGCATTGTTATTTGTTAGCTTCATGTAAGGTTAATTACTTACGAGGAATTGGAGTGCAGAGGGCATATGCGTTTCCCGTAAACCCAGGCAGGCATGAGCAGACTGGATTGTGACTTTGAACCCGACAATCGGCATTCTGGCCACAGGATCCGGGGCACGGGTCGACACACTTCTGCCCAACGCAGGCTTGGTAACTGGGACAGTCGGTGTTGACCACACACTCTGGCCGGCAGTTGGGTGGCGCTCCCAGGTACTCCGGCAGACACGAGCATGTAGGACGTCCGTTCAGCTCCCGACACTGCGAGTTAGGCCCGCAGGGGTTTGGGAAGCAGGTTTGCTTGGGTGTCTCGGCTGAAAAGTGATATTAGAATGTTAGCGATATCAGAAAGTAAACGAAAAAAGTAAAAATAATTTAAAATTGAATGCCTTCTTTTCATTTCACGTAATTTGCTTAGTTTGAATTGGCTCATAGTATTCATACTCACGTTTGATTTGAATGCATCCTTGATAGGGCGATCCAGAGTAACCAGCGTTGCATGTGCAGAGCGGGTTGTGGTTGATGACTCTGCACGCAGCATTGTGTCCACACAGGCCGGGGCAGGGGTCGATGCACTTCTGCTGAGACCCGCATGCCTGTGTTTGAGCACAGTCGGCGTTGGTGACACATTCTGGCCGACAGCCGGTATACGGGTCGCCCTTGGGGAAGCCCGGAAGACACTTGCAGATTGCAACAGCGGAGTCGTCATCATCCCGGTCCTTGGATATGCACTCGGCGTTTGATCCACACGGAGATGGGAAGCAAGGATCGGCCTTTGCCGGTTCTTGTGGTGGCTGAGTGACCGGAACCGGTGTGCATGCTGAGAAGGGGTCGCCGTTATATCCCTCTGGGCAGAAGCACATGGCCACGTGATTCTGCACACGGCACTCAGCACGGAAGCCGCACACGCCACGACAGGGGTCGACGCACTTGTTGCGTTCGCAGGCTTTGGAGCGATCACAGTCTGAGTGAACCACACATTCGGGCTTGCAGCCTTCATATGGGTTGCCAAAGTGTTCTGGTAGACAGCTACAAACTCCGATGCTGTTGTGTACGCGGCACTGGGCGTTCGGGCCACACTTTCCAGGGTAGCAGGGGTCTTGTTCTTGAACAACCGGAGCGACAGTAGCTGCGAAAAAGGCATTTGTTAATGTTGCCTTGTAAAAAGTGGCCTAAGGATCAACGTTTGTTTCTTCCGGTATGAAGCCTCTTATAGATAACAAATTCTTAGGTTATACGGCTGAAAAAGTGATAAATGCTGTGTGTAAACAAACTAACCTCAGGCTCGTCAAATATTATTTACGACTTTCACCGGCGAACACTGATATGTACTTACTCTGAGGAATTGGCGAGCAATATCGGAACGGATCTCCTGTGTAGCCAGAGTCGCATCTGCACACTGGACGATGGTTTTGTACAGAACACCTGGCGTTCTGGCCGCACTGTCCTTGGCACGGATCGAGACACTTTTGTCCGATGCAAGCCAGGTGGTCGGCACAGTCCGTGTTCAGGACACATTCTGGGCGACAGGCTGGTGGAGCACCCTTGTATCCCGACAGGCAGGAGCAGGCCGCTCCGCCGTTCTTGACACGACACTCAGAGTTCGGGCCGCACGGGCTCGGCTGGCATGGATTCTCGTCGCGAGGCGGATCAGCTGAAACGGCAATGCATACTGTTAATTTTAATTCCTATACGCACCGGCTATCAGTCTGGATTTGAATAGAAGTATGATAAATATGTACTGTATGGCATATCATTATTGCAGGTATATTCGTTGAAGAATATTTTTATTTTATGTGCCATGCTAGTTTTCAATAGTTTTGTTTTGACTAGCTAGTTTTGAATAAAACTCTAGCTAGTTTTAGGACTTACAATAGCTTTTACTGGCAATGATCTTAGAAACAGTGTCGTTTTGAATACAACAAAAACATTGATTCGTGACCTATCAATGAGAACGTCAAAACCACTATTGGTAACGAGGCAGCATTATACTCACTTCTTACAACAGCACAGCTCCTGTAGGGATCCCCTTCATATCCTGGCAGGCAGTTGCACCTTGGGTTGTGGTTAAGGACTCGACATTGTGCGTTGACTCCACAGAGGCCGGCGCACGGGTTTTTGCATTTCTGGCTGATGCATGCCAGCGCCGGAGCGCACTCGGCGTTGGAGACGCACTCTGGTCGACATCCGATGGTGGGGTCGCCATGGTAACCAGCCACACAAGAGCACACGGCTACGTTGTTGGCCTCTCGGCACTGGGCGTTCTCGCCGCAAGGCGATGGCACACAGGGGTTCGTGTACTGAGGCTCAAGTGGCGGTGGTGTTTGCGGCACCAGTCTGCAGTAGGAGAATGGATCTCCGGTGTGGCCCTCAGGACAACTGCACATAATGATACGGTTGACGACGTGACACTCTGCTCCTGTGCCACACTGGCCTGGGCACGGATTTCTGCACTTATTGTTGTCACAGTTCTTGTCCCGTGGGCAATCCGTGTCCAGGACACACTCTGGTTTGCATCCGACGTAAGGGTTCCCGAAGTACTCATCACGGCAAATGCATACCGCGACGCCATTCTTGTCGCTGCAATCTGCGTTGGCTCCACACGGTGACGGATAGCATGGGTCGGCCACCGCCGGTGCCGTCGGTGGCGGAGTTTCTGGAAAAGATTATTGAAGTTTATGGTTGCTTTTGTTTCGATTTAAGCATCGATTTGTGAAAAGGGAAGGTTGTATTGTAGAAGTTTTTTTTTGTCTTTGAAATACTGCCAGCAAAGATGATACGATACACTTTAAATAAATACATAAAATAACTCACAGCCCATATTTTATATACGCTCAATACTTCTATTCAGAATACTTTGAAGGTATGACAGTTTCGGTAGCAGACTTCCACAATGAATATAAATATATATATATATATATATATATATATATATATATATATATATATATATATATATATATATATATATATATATATATATATATACACTTACTGGGAATGGGCGTACAAAGTGCGTAGGCATCTCCAGTGTACCCTCCACGGCACATGCAGACCGGATTATGATTGAAGACCCGACAGTCGGCGTTCTGCCCGCAGGATCCCGGACACGGGTCGACACACTTCTCTCCGACGCACGCCTGGTGACTGGGACAGTCGGAGTGGATGGTGCACTCCGGTCGGCAGTTGGGCGGGCTGGACAAGTAGCCAGGCAGGCACGAACAGGTAGGTCGGCCGTTGAGCTCGCGACACTGAGAGTTCGGTCCGCACGGGTTGGGGAAGCACGTTTGTCTTGGTGCTTTCGCTGTAAACAGGACCAGAACACTTGGAGACTGCGCAGATTGTATGCAAATTGTATATTGCAAATGCTGAAATGGTATAAAATGAAATCCGTACATAAATCATAATGCAAATTACAGTATTTTTATCGTTGAAGGTGAGCTATCGCTTGTATGAGAATTATTATGAATATTTTAGTGTGAAAAATAAACTTATGCTAATGCTACAATATTGAAATGATACTGAAATCAGACCAAAAATATTATTTGGTCAACATTAATCGGAGTGGATGGTACAGTCACTCGCGGTGCCGGTGTCGTCATCGCGGTCTTCAGGAGGGGAGGGACCAAGCATATAATGTTTTTTTTGTCTTCTTTCAGTACCATTTCAATAGTGTAACATTAGCATAAGGTCTATTGACGTCGGTTACGGAAAATCGCGATACCGTTACCAAACGAAATACGAACACTACCAATGAAAATAATACCGATACCGAACCAACTTGGGAATATGAGGAAAATTCCAACTTTGTGACCAAATTTTTGGACCGTATGACATTAGTGAGGATTCCATAATACCCACAAAATACCAAATACATTCGCCTTGAAATACCAAAAACCAAGTTGGTAGCGGTTTGTTATCGGTAGGTATATCTACCAAAAAGTTGGTAAGTATCCGATTGACAGATCTCTAATAAGACCATTTTTACCATAAAGCCCAGGCTCCACTGCGCGATTTTTCCGTGCGATTTTGCAAAAAAGTAGTCTGTAATCTGAACTTTTTATGCGCGAACGGTATTGGGTGATATTTCATGCGGTAATGCAATTCCCGCACTGTGGCTTGGCGCATTCTTTTGCGCTTGATGAACATTTTCTGGCATCGCTAAGGGCATTGCATTCTTGCGTTATCGCAAAATGGCACGGAAAATCGCGTAGTGGAGGAGCCTGGGCATGAGACAGTATTTTAGGATAAGTCATTTTGATAGAAATTCTTACGTGGTATTTGCCTGCATCCTTGATACGGTGATCCAGTATAGCCTTCATTGCAGGAGCAGAGTGGATTGTGGTTGATGACTCTGCACGCGGCATTGTGTCCACAAAGTCCAGGGCAGGGGTCAATGCACTTCTGCTGAGACCCGCATGCCCGAGTTTGAGCACAGTCGGCGTTGGTGACGCATTCTGGTCGACAGCCGGTGTACGGGTCGCCCTTAGGGAAGCCCGGAAGACACTTGCAGATGGCAACAGCGAAGTCGTCGTCATCACGGTCCTTGGAGATGCATTCGGCATTGGAACCGCAAGGCGATGGGTAGCATGGGTCGACTACCACTGGCTGAGTCGGTTGTGCGGCTGAGGAAAGACACCAAGGATGCTCAAACATGCAACATCCTAAATGTCTCATGCAGGAATGCATTGCAATGCAAATATCAGGCATATCATGCGTGCAACATTCACAAGGCAGTGTAACAGGTGTTCTCACGTTTCAATGGTACAGGCGTGCATGCGGTGAACGGATCTCCTCGGTACCCGTCAGGGCAGTAGCACATCGGCACGTGGTCGTGCACCCGGCACTCGGCACGGAAGCCGCAGACGCCGGGGCACGGGTCCACGCACTTGCTGCGCTCGCAGGCCTTGGAGCGGTCGCAGTCATCATTGATCATGCACTCGGGCCGACAGCCTTCGTACGGGTTGCCGAAGTACTCCGGCAGGCACGTGCATATTCCCAGACCATTGTGCTCCCGACACTGGGCATTTATGCCGCATTTGCCCGGGAAGCATGGTTGCTGTTGTGGAATTGGTGCCGGAGTTGCTGTAATGGAAGGACACCAGCCTGAATGTTTGTACGTCTGAGGTTAAGCAGCTTATTCATAAAAGGATAGGTGTAATGCGCATATATATATATATATATATATATATATATATATATATATATATATATATATATATATATATATATTAGTATATTTATATATAATGTATTTGCCTTCCATTAGTACCCGGTGACTTGAATACTTCCGCCCCTTTAACGCATTTTTTGATTTAATACGAGTCTCCGTTCTTTTCTTTGAAGTCACTCAGAATGCGCAGTACGCACTCACTCACTCACTCACTCACTGACTCACTCATTTACTCACTCACGAACTCACCCCAACCCTCAATATATCTCGCTATGGTTTCGAGTCTTCTCTTTCGGATTGTTAATTATTCGTGTCCTTGCACTTTAACTTCAGAGTTATCTATCCATCATCCATGAAACCCACCACAACAAAACATGAACATCTAGCATCAAGCTCTGTCGCGATCATATTTTCCGTCTTCCAGGTAAAGTTTTCACCTAAAGAAGCAGTGCAATGTGCATAGCTCGTTGTGTTTTAATAAACCTTGCATCTCGCTCGGAACTAAATAAATTGGTAAGGTTGTGCTCGTAACGTCCAGTCGTCATGCAGCATGCACTTACTCGGCGCCCGTGGCACGGGCCGGCAAAGGCGGCTGGCGTCGCCAGTGTAACCGGCTGGGCACCGGCACAGCGGCTGGTGGTTCCGCACGGTACACAGTGCCTCGACGCCGCACCGATCCTGACAGGGGTCGCGGCATTTGTTCTCCAGGCAGGCTAGGCGTGCGGCGCAGTCGCTGCTCAGCACGCACTCGTGTCGGCAGTTGGGTGGCGTCCCCAGGAAGCCGGGCCGACACGAGCACGAGGCGTGGCCGCTCCTCTCTTTGCATACGGCATTCGACCCGCATGGACTCGGCTCGCATGGGTTGGAGGGCCTCTCTGGGGTGGCTAGAAGGACAGGAGGCGGTCGGTCACACGGCATGCATGATGCATAGGCTCACATGCGAATGTATCACAAATCAAGGGCAGTCATTTCATGCTAGGTACTGGGTATGTACATATTCATGCAGGCATGCTTACAGGGAACAATCGTGCAGATCCTGTAGGGATCTCCGGTGAAGCCCGCTGTGCAGTGGCAGATCGGGTTGTGGTTGGAGACGCGACACTGTGCATTCGGCCCGCAAAGGCCAGAGCACGGGTCGATGCATTTCAAGTTGACACAGGCCAGGTGGCGAGAGCACTCTGAGCTGGTGAAGCACTCTGGTCGGCAGCCGATGGTCGCGTCGCCGTGGTAGCCCTTGATGCAAGAGCACACGGGGATGCCGCCGTGCTCCGTACACTGGGCGTTCTGTCCGCAGGGTGTCGGCACGCACGGGTTGCTGTATTGGGGCTCACGTGGCGGCGGAGCGGTTTGCGGGATCGGGGTGCAGTAGGAGAAGGCGTCTCCCGTATAGCCCGCTGGACAGGTACACATGACTATGTGGTTTGCCACGTGACACTCCGCTTGAATGCCGCATCGTTCAATGCAAGGGTCCACACACTTGTTCCGCTCGCAGTTCTTGTCGCGAGAACAGTCGCTGTCGATTACACATTCGGGCTGACAACCGTTGTATGGATCTCCAAAGTAATCGTCCTCACACACGCAGATGCCAAGCCCGTTCTTGTTCTGGCATTGTGCGTTGGGACCACACGGAGACGGAATGCATGGATCCGTTTCGACAGCGGCAGTTGGAGGTACGGTCTCTGTAAAGATAAATCCAAACCCATCAGAAACAATTTTTCTTTGTTACCATTATGAAAATATGGATATCATGTTAAGCCACGAATATTCTAAACATCTGGTACTTTTTATTTATGAATAAAACCGGACGCGTTTTCATCAGTGTTATCGTTTTAGTACCAACTTATGCACAATCGAGTTTCAATATTTCGCAATAACATCACTCACGGGGAATCGGCGAACAGTATGAATAGGCATCTCCGGTGTATCCTGGTCTGCATGTACACGTAGCGACATGACGATGGGCCCGACAGTCGGCATTCTCTCCACAGACGTCTTCACAAACCGGCGAGCACTTTTGTCCGGCGCAGGCCATGTGGCTGGGACAATCTGAGTTCACCGTGCACTCTGGCCGACAGTTGGGTGGCGCTCCCAGGTACTCCGGTAGACACGAGCAGGCCGGGCGGCCGTTCAGATCCCGACATTTTGAGTTTGGACCACACGGATTAGGGAAGCAGGTCACCTTAGGAGCTTCCGCTGAAAGAAAGCGAAACATGGGGTCATCGATAACCAAACATTTCTTATGAATAGGTACATGCGAAATATGTTTATCTTGGATTGCAATTCCTACGCAGAACAATCACAAACAAGGAAAATTGTTTCATTGAAAGGGTAAAGTTATGCAATGCATACTCACGTGGTATTTGTCTGCATCCTTGATACGGTGATCCGGTATAGCCGTCATTGCAGGTGCAGAGCGGGTTGTGATTGATGATTCTACACACGGCATTGTGTCCACACAGGCCGGGGCAGGGGTCAATGCACTTCTGCTGAGACCCACACGCCCGAGTTTGAGCACAGTCGGCGTTGGTGACACATTCTGGCCGACAGCCGGTGTACGGGTCGCCCTGGGGGAAGCCCGGAAGACACTTGCAGACAGCGACGGGGCGACTGTCGTCGTCGTTATCGGCTTTGTGAACGCACTCAGCGTTTGGCCCGCAGGGCGATGGGAAGCATGGATCTGCCGTTTGCGGCGTCGGCTCACGAGGTGGTTCTAATGGAAGAGACAGGTATTCCTTTGTTAGATACAGTGTTTTGGCCTAAATAACGAAATGTTGAAGCATTACGAGAACAACAGTTATTATAAACATCACGATTGTCGCTATTGCACAAAATGTAACCAAAAACATGGACGGCAGTAATGGTTACTTACGTGTCACAGGAACTGGGTTACATGAGCTGAACGGATCGCCTCGATAACCTTCCAAGCAGTAGCACATGGCGATGTGGTTATGTACGCGACATTCTGCACGGAAGCCACAGACTCCCGGACACGGGTCGACGCACTTGTTGCGTGCGCAGGCCGTGGAGCGGTCACAGTCAGAGTGAACCACACATTCGGGCTTGCAGCCTTCATACGGATTGCCGAAATGTTCTGGTAAACAGCTGCACACGCCCAGACCGTTGTGTTCTCGGCACTTCGCGTTAGGACCACAAGGAGTGGGGTTGCACGGATCTCTTGCTTCTTCCACAACCGGAGCGAGCGTCGCTGTGAAAGAAGGCATTGATGAAGGATGTGCTTTGAAGTGATTCGTGGTCATCAATTCATATCAATTTCCATTTTTTCTTTAAATAAAGTGATTTTATGTAGAGTTTTAACTTTCACTATAATTGAAACGTATTCAATACTCAATTCAATACGTATTCAAATGAAAAAAAAACGTTTCACCAAAACAGGCGCACGACAAGGACTTGCTGTAATACATGTACCAGTTCCCAAAATGCTTACCGGGTGGAATTCTGCGACAGGCGCGGAAGGGATCTCCAGTAAAGCCGGCACGACAGCGACACAAAGGGCTGTGTCTGTGAACGCTGCATTTCGCGTTCTGGCCACACTCTCCACTACAGGGGTTGAGGCACTTTTGTCCGATGCAAGCCAGGTGGTCGGCACAGTCCGTGTTCAGGACACATTCTGGCCGACAGGCTGGCGGAGCACCCTTGTATCCCGGCAGGCAGGAGCAGGCCGCTCCGCCGTTTACCTCCCGGCACTCTGAGTTCGGGCCGCACGGGCTCGGCTGGCATGGGTTCTGGGGCCGTGGGGGGTTCGCTAAAAAGAGAAAGAAAAAATTCAGTGATGGGAAATGCGCAGATACAGATGAGTAGTATGTTCATCAAAATGAGAGATATTAAATGCAGGTAAACATTTTATATAATACAGTTTACAGGCCCTACTCACTTCTTGCAACTGCACAGCTCCGGTAAGGATCTCCTTCATATCCTGGCAGGCAGTTGCACCTGGGGTTGTGGTTGAGGACGCGGCATTGTGCGTTGACTCCACAGAGACCGGCGCACGGGTTCTTGCATTTCTGGCTGATGCATGCCAGGGCCGGGGCGCACTCGGCGTTGGAGACACACTCTGGTCGACATCCGATGGTGGGGTCGCCATGGTAACCAGCCACACAAGAGCACACAGCTGCGTTGTTGGCCTCTCGGCACTGAGCGTTCTCGCCGCAAGGCGATGGCACGCAGGGGTTGGTGTACTGAGGCTCAAATGGCGGTGGTGTTTGCGGCACCAGTCTGCAATAGGAGAATGGATCTCCGATGTGGCCCTCAGGACAACTGCACATGATGATGTGGTTGACGACGTGACACTCTGCTCCTGTGCCACACTGGCCTGGGCATGGGTTCCTGCACTTGTTGTTGTCACAGTTCTTGTCCCGCGGGCAGTCAGAGTCCAGAACACACTCTGGTTTGCATCCGACGTAAGGGTTCCCGAAGTACTCATCACGGCAAATGCATACCGCAACGCCATTTTTGTCGCTGCAATCTGCGTTAGCTCCACACGGTGACGGATAGCAAGGGTCGGCCACAACCGGAGCTGTAGGAACCGGCGTCTCTGAAAGCACAGGATGTATACTTGTTACCAATGTTGTTCCGTTTTTCATAATCATGTATCATATTTCAAGGGTTGTTGTTAGGGTATTTGAACACTTCCATTAAAATTGCATTAACACATTGGTTCAACAAATGTATATTGCATGTCAAAAAGCGGAAGATTTACTGATTAGTGAGTATGAACTTACGAGGAATCGGAGTGCACAAGGCATATGCGTCACCCCTGTAACCAGGGCGGCACGTGCAGACTGGATTATGATTGAAGACCCGACAGTCGGCGTTCTGCCCGCAGGATCCCGGACACGGGTCGACACACTTCTCTCCGACGCACGCCTGGTGACTGGGACAGTCGGAGTGGATGGTGCACTCCGGTCGGCAGTTGGGCGGGCTGGACAAGTAGCCAGGCAGGCACGAACAGGTAGGTCGGCCGTTGAGCTCGCGACACTGAGAGTTTGGTCCGCACGGGTTTGGGAAGCACGTTTGTCTTGGCGCTTTCGCTGTAAACAAGACCGGAAAACTTAGAGACTACAAAGTTATACAAAATTAAAAATGATCAAATGATGTAGAATGAAATTCGCAAAAAAAACGCATATACTTTTGAATAAATAGAGTATTTTCTGAAGAAAAAAAATGATGCAAGACATTCTGGTATAATTTCTTACGTGGTATTTGCCTGCAACCTTGATACGGTGATCCGGTATAGCCTTCATTGCAGGAGCAGAGTGGATTGTGGTTGATGACTCTGCACGCGGCATTGTGTCCACAAAGTCCAGGGCAGGGGTCAATGCACTTCTGCTGAGACCCGCATGCCCGAGTTTGAGCACAGTCGGCGTTGGTGACACATTCTGGCCGACAGCCAGTATACGGGTCGCCCTTAGGGAAGCCCGGAAGACACTTGCAGATGGCAACAGTGAAGTCGTCGTCATCGCGGTCCTTGGAGATGCACTCGGCATTGGAACCGCAAGGCGATGGGTAGCATGGGTCGACTACCACTGGCTGAGTCGGTTGTGCGGCTGAGAACATAAAATGTTCTGCTTTGGCATGCTGGATGGGTATACATGCAATACATTCAAGGGAGCGGGAGCACGGTGCAGGGTGACATGCAGTAGGGCGACATTCAACGTGCAAAGGAATCATTCACGGTACATGCATATAGCACACAATGTACAGCATGCATTCAAACATGCGCGTGACGACCGGTTCGATTTCAGATGGGTAGGATGAATTATGGCTTACGTGTGACTGGTATCGGCGTGCATGCAGTGAACGGGTCGCCATTGTACCCATCCGGGCAGTAGCACATCGGCACGTGGTTGTGCACCCGGCACTCGGCACGGAAGCCGCAGACGCCGGGGCACGGGTCCACGCATTTGTTGCGCTCGCAGGCCTTGGAGCGGTCGCAGTCATCATTGATCATGCACTCGGGACGACAGCCTTCGTACGGGTTGCCGAAGTACTCGGGAAGGCAGCTGCACACGCCCAGACCGTTGTGCTCCCGGCACCGGGCGTTGGGGCCGCACGGAGTGGGGCTGCACGGGTCTCTGTCGTCCTCGATCAGAGGACGAGCAGTTGCTGGAGAAGACCACCATTGCGTGAGCATCATTGCGCAGTGGTGTAGACCAGTTCGATAGACGCAGTCGGATAGACTCGTCAAACGGGCTTTGTTTGTATGACTTTAACCCGCGCGGGGCTGGGGGGGGGGGTAAATTTTACCCCCCCTCGCGAATTTTTGCGATATCTCAAAAACGGCGGCGCGCAGCGCCGCCAAACTTTCAGTACCTTTTATTACATCAATTTGACACGTTCCCTGAAAATTTGAGCGAAATCCGTCGGAAAATTTTTGAGAAATTGACGTTTTAGTGACGTCATGTTCGCCATTTTCGCCTCAAAAACGGCAAAAGTTCAAACGCCGCTAACATCTTCATTTTTAAAGGAATCAAGACGTAACAAAAAAGGTTATGCGTAATTTTACTTTGTCTATCAAATGGCTATCTCGGTTTTTTGAAAATTTTGGATTTTGGCCTAAATTTTTTCAAAAAACTGACTTTTTTGGGAAAATCATTATAAAATCCAAAATTTTGAGTCTATCGAAAAAACCGGAATATATGTCAGAGAAGTGGTCTATGTGCACCTACATACCAAATTTTAGAAGAATCGGTTCAAAAATGTGGGAGTTATTCAAAATTTTATGACGTCATGACACACAAAATTTTTGAAAAATGACTTTTTTGGAAGTTCTAGACCTCGTACGGAAACAAAAATAGCACCATTCGATTCGCCGTGAAAAACTGCATCAGATAGACACCTTTTTAGGCCTTAACAACCAACTTCAAAATTTGACCTCACTTGACCTGACCTTGACCTGACCTCGACCTGAAATTCATCCAGAGGTGGTCCATATCACTTATTGAGTGTGCCTATTGAATTCTATGAGTAAAATGACCCATAAAACATGTGTCGCACATGCCCTTTTCTATATTTTGTTTTTTGGTGACCTGACCTGACCTGACCTGACCTTGACCTTGACCTCTGAATGATATTGTATGCAACTAATATTGTCTTGGTAGCCTAAGAACACGTTTTGGGCGATCAGTCTCAGTCCATGACTCCATTCTTCGGCAACTACGGTGCAAGGCCGATACTGTAGAAACTTGCAATTTGTACCCTTGACCTGACCTTGACCTTGACCTCAAACTTTAAATTAAGTACATGTTTTTAGTAGTTCGTGATGAGAGCTTTCGATTGGCGTTTGAATTTTCCAAATCGGACCATTAGTTCGGGAGATAACAGGGGGGGGGGTAAAATTTACCCCCCCCCAGCCCCGCGCGTTCGGCTGGAGACCCCAGCCCCGCGCGGGTTAAGGTAACCGACTCAGCCTTTTCCTTTCTACTATAGTTACGTACTGTATTTATCAGAGGTCGAAAAACTGTCCATCCCTCCAACCGGTGTTGGAGCAAATAATTGACCGAATAGCTATGCAAACGGAAAATAATCGATCGCCAATGATGAAACACAGAATCTTTTAGTTGCATGGACATTCCTTGCATCCATGTGCAATTTCAAGCTTCAGCTAATGACCCACTGTGAAAAAAATGACCCACTGTGAGTACTTTGTAACCGACCCACGGCCTGGCTATGGCCCACCCTTGACTTCAGGCCCATGTCGTCCCCTATCTCTCTGCGTGTCCACTAACACGAATGACGTCACGCATGTGGGCGGAGCTATGGGCGGAGCCTAACGCACGCGGCAGTCCAAGCCGCCATATTTGAATTTATATTTTAATAGAATCTTGCCGATATTTTGGGTGAAGTCAATTTATATGGATAGCTTGGTGACAGTTTAGCTATACGAATAATAATTTATTATGGATGTGCGTATATTCAGCTTGGAATTGCAATTAAAGTTCCGCACCGCATAGATTCGAACTCGGGACCTTTGGAATACTGCGCAGGCACGCTAACCACTACACTACCGCGACCGCCCGGCGGCCGGCGGCAGGGAGGCTGCGGAGACATGGGGGGACATTTTTCGCTTTTGTGAAAAAAACAAAAGATTTAGTGAAAAACACGTAATAGATAACTTGCAGAAAATTGTCTGCTCTTTCAGATAAGATACTTAGGTTTGATATATCTTGTGCAGACTTCATTCTACAGTGCTTCGAAAATCGCTCATTTACATGGGGATTGAACGGGGCTTCGAGACTTGACTCCAAATGACGTCACGAGCTGACGTCACGAAAAGGTAGAATCGCCGGACGACCCTACCTGGTATATAGGGCCTTGCTTGACTTGCTCCCAGCCCAGTTGCTTCCATCTTACTGAAGCAAATCAGTGTCAAAAAGGCTACTTTTCCCGTAATCGCGAGCGGAATTTCGCCCTTACAGCAGTTGTAGAAAGTAGCGGCTTTTTAGAGCGTACAGTCCGTGGAATAGATGTCGCTGCGGTCCGGCAGTGACATCCAGCGACATCTACGCGCCGAACAGTAAGAACTTGGAACTACGGGCACGTCATGACCTCTTGCACGGCCCTGTTTCAGCGCATTGAAGCTGTCTGGCGCTAACGGTATTGGTGCTCAGTATCCATGGAAACTGTAGAGGGATTCAAGGCCTTGACCCGGGTTATGCAACAAATCATTTTTCTTGTGGAGCAAATTTTAGATCGGTTGGAGAAAGTCGAACTGTTTTTTCGGCCTCTGGTATTTATTAATGTCACTGTTGCCTATTGAGGTGGAATAAAATTCTTCCCTTTTAATCACATATTACCACCAAGTGAATATTTGTTGTTATGTCGCAATCGCGGTGGTGTAAGGGGTGAGATGCACTATAACATAATCGTTGTCCAAGAGGCCGCAGGACCGGGTTCGCTTAACTTTGGTATTATCATGCATTTGCACCTTGTTTTTTTATATTTCTTTTCGAATGAGGATTTTAAGTACGCTTTGTCCCTCTCCTCTAATGATTAAATATCCCATGTCCTGTAAATACAAATAAATAATGATATGCTATCGCTGAAATAATTTTTAAAGCAACTAGGAATGCCTAGCCTCAAAGCATTTAGCGTTTAGGTAAACAAGCTTTATCGAATTATGTTTCCATATTTACAATAGGAATCTTCTGAATTGCGATTCATTTCTATATCAACCATGTACGGACAAAGTTGGGAAAGATCTCTCGGCAGTAATTATTAGCAATATGTCTACCAACCGCCGGTCCTCTAGTTTTAATAATAGTGCTATATGTGACAGCGATTGCTAGTTTGTCTCGTTATTGCTTGGATTCAATGTCTGCAATCGAATCACTATCGAGTATTTTATAATGCCGGAGCAGATAACAAATACACTTACACGAGAATGAAATTAGATGCCTACCTAAGTGGTTGACCAATATCATAACATGTAAAATGACTGCAAAACAATAACGAACACGAAATTGGTACAATAGAGCACAAATAAGCAATTAAAAATAAAGAAGGCACGAGTACAACATTAGAAATTAAGCAACTAGACTAGTTAAATAGTTTGGCTATAGCATAGGAAACTGCATTGTTGAAAGACAAAAGACTGCAATCAGCATTGTTGGCTTGTCTTGAAATCCTCGAACTCTTACTTACTGTGCCGCTGAAAGACCATTAAAATCATCGATACCTATTACCTGTATACGATAACATCGATATTCAAGAACACTTCATGCAAATAGTGCTGACATGCAAGCATGACGTATCATGTGTACATACAGCATGCGTGCAGGCAACAAATGCCATGCTTAATACAAATTTTGACTATTCGCCAGTCATGCCCTTACGATTCACACAACACTGAAAGCAATTTGACGTCAAAAGCCCAATGACTCACATTGGAATCATTTGGCTGACTGGACATGCTCATAGCACAGCTGGGATTGACTGGACGAATAGTCGGCGGGCGGCCGCCACGGGGCGGCCACGCGCCACCGGCAGGCAGACAAGTGGGGGCTGTACTCACTCAGCGGGCGCGGACGGCAGCCGGAGAACGGGTCGCCCTGGTAGCCCTCCAGACAAGAGCACTGCGCCTGGTGGTTGACCACGCGGCACTGGGCGTTGGCGCCGCACCGGCCCGGGCACGGGTCGACGCACTTGGTGCCGACGCAGGCCAGGTGGGACGCGCAGTCGGTGCTGAGCAGGCACTCTGGTCGGCAGTTGGGCGGCGCTCCCAGGAAGCCGGGCAGGCACGCGCACGACGCGCTGCCGCCCTGGTTGCGGCACTGCGAGTTGGCACCGCACGGGTTCGGCTGGCACGGGTCCGAAGGCTCCGCAGGGGTCACTGTAACGGCAAGGAGCCATCGTCAGCGCCTGTGGCCCACACCGCTGCTTTTGTTCACGGGAATTCATTGGAAAAGTTGTTATGACCTGGATTTACCTAAATCTTTGAGGTTTTAAGGTGAGAGAAAAGCGCGCTGTAGCTAGTATTGATCGTTGACAAGTATGCATGGAATAGTTGCCTATGAATTAGGGAGGTGAGAATGATTTCACTGATGCCATTCACTTAAGTGACAAATTGGTTTGCGCCTTCAAAAGCCGGCAATTCATTAAACCGCATGTGCTGTTCCATTTGGTCCCGCTCCACCCACTCACCAGGCGCGAGCCTGCACGACTCGTACGGGTTGCCGGAGTAGCCGTCCAGGCAGTCACACAGCGGGTTGTGGTTCTGCACACGACAGCGCGCGTTGGCTCCGCACAGGCCCGGGCACGGGTCGACGCACTTCTGAGCGACGCACGCCTTGCTGGAGGGGCACTCTGCGTGCGTGACACACTCGGGCCGGCAGCCGGACACGGGGTCGCCCTGGTATCCGGCCAGGCACGAGCACACGGCCACCAGGCCGTTGTCTTTGCACTGGGCGTTGGCGCCGCACGGCGATGGTGCGCACGGGTTGGTGGGGACGGGCTGACGCGGTGGCGCTGTGGAATGGAGAGACCGGTGATTAGCGCTGGCTGTCACTTGAACGACAAATCAAAAGCCATATAAAGGTATGTCGAAAGGCAAATTTAATATTATACGTCTTTCCCAATAACGATAGTAGCGTAGCTTACTTGTGACTGGGATGGGTCGGCAGAGCGAGAATGGGTCTCCGGTGTATCCTTCCGGGCAGGAGCACATGGTGATGTGGTTGACCACCGAGCAGTGGGCGCCGCTGCCGCACGGGCCCGGACATGGGTTCAAGCACTTCAGGCGCACGCAGTTCTTGTCGCGGGGGCAGTCGTTGTCTAGCACACACTCGGGCTGGCAGGAGATGTACGGGTTGCCGAAGTACTCGGGGATGCAGACGCAGATGGCTAGGCCGTCCTTCTCCCTGCACTCGGCGTTGGCGCCGCACGGGGACGCGCTGCACGGGTCGACCACCACCGGCGCCGTCGGAGCGGCTGTGAATCAAGAACAGACCCGTGATGATAAAGGCATTATTTTTTTAAACGATGACATGTTTGTGGCATTTCCGTCGTGTTTGCTGCCCTCATTTTGAAATGCACATAGTAACATTTATTATTATGGGTATGTTATGGGTATGTTATTATGGGTATGCTCTTACTGGAATCTTATAGATTTCCAAACGAAGAAGGAGGATCGCCGGCGCGTTTTCGACTTAATGATCAGGCATCCTTTGATGGCCATATCTTTGCAAATGAATAATCGGTTATAATGTCACAATATAATAATTTGGCCATTCTTTGTCTTCTCACCTGGGGTGGCCTTCAAGATGCAGCCGCTGAACGGATCTCCCGAGTAGCCGGGCTTGCAGCTGCACACCGGGTTGTGGTTGACCACACGGCAGATGGTGTTGAGGCCGCACACGTCCAGGCAGGCGTCGCGGCACTTTTGGCCGATGCAGGCGTGCAGGCTGGAGCAGTCGGAGCTGACGACACACTCGGGCCGGCAGTTGGGCGGCGTGCCGATGTAGGACGGACGGCACGAGCAGATGGGTCGGCCGCCGGCGTCCCGGCACTCGGCGTTCGGTCCGCACGGTGACGGCCGGCACGGGTCCTCGGGCGTGGCCGGAGTGACGGGCACGGCGCGGCAGCCGGCCCACGGGTCGCCGCTGTAGCCCGGCAGACAGTGGCAGATCGGGTTGTGGTTGATGATGCGGCACTCTGCGTTCTGGCCGCACACGCCCGGACAGGGGTCGATGCACTTGTAGCGGGCGCAGGCCTCTTTCTGCGGGCACTCGGCGTTGCTGGTGCACTCGGGCTTGCACTCGACGTATGGGTCTCCGCCATACGGCTCCAGGCAGGAGCAGACGGCCACCGTGCCGCGCTCCGTGCACTGGGCGTTGATGCCGCACGGAGACGGCGAGCAGGGCTGGACCACCACCGGTTGAGTCGGCCGCGCCGCTGGGCGAAAAGGGATATTTATTATCATTTCTATTTATTGTCAGAATATAAATGTTGACAGAAAATCAATACTGGGATTATGCTTTTTATTTACAAAGGTACGGTAACGAGAAATCAAAATACTTATGTCGTCAATGAATATTCTGTGCATCTTTAAACTTCTCAACTGGTCTGTATAACTTACGTGCAGGGGTACGAGGCGGTTCGTTGCACGCGACGAAGGGATCTCCGGTGAGGTAGGCGGGGCAGTAGCACATGGCGACATGGTCCACGACACGGCACTCGGCCCGGAAGCCGCAGACGCCCGGACACGGGTCTCTGCACTTCATGGCCTCGCACGCCTTGGAGCGGTCGCAATCGGAGTTGGTGGTACACTCGGGCTTGCAGCCTTCGTACGGATTGCCGAAGTAGTTGGTGCGGCAGCTGCACACCCCGAGGCCGTTGTGCTCGCGGCAGTCAGCGTTGGCACCGCAGCGACCCTCATAACAAGGGTTCTGCGGGGTGGCCGGCGGCAGGGTCGCTGTGAAAGGGATCATCAGCGTTAGCAAAATAGCCCAGCTAGGCGTAAAAACGTAGTAAAAATGTTCATTCGTGGCTAATGCTCCACTATTTAACGAGTCTCTAAAATTCGATGACATGATAGTACGACTAGGTTCAATGTCAGATGTTTCCCATAGTGCCTCAACAACTCGCTGAAGCGGCCCTGCAACCATCTAAGGACGCCTTGCCACAAGTAAAATAGCTGGAGATGTTCAAGTGGCCCTCGTTATCGCCTTACTCTGTGGCCTAAGACGGCATTCGACGAATGGATCGCCCGTGTAGCCGGCGCGACATGTGCACACAGGCGTGTGACTGGAGACACGGCAGTCGGCGTTGGCGCCGCAGTGTCCCGGGCACGGGTCGACACACTTCTCGCCCACGCAGGCCAGGTAGCTGGCGCAGTCGGAGCTGACCACACACTCTGGCCGGCAGTTGGGCGGGCTGCCCAGGTACTCGGGCAGACACGAGCAGGTCGGCCGACCGTTGATGTCTTTGCAGGTGGAATACGGGCCGCATGGGTTCGGCTGGCAGGGATCTGTGACGACCAGCTCCGTTTCTGGAAGGGTGTGCATAGCATGCGGGATTCCGAAGCAAAAAGCGTGTGGGAACAGTACACAGGTGCATACAACATGCATAAAAACCTAAAAGAGACAGCAAAAAAAAAAGCTGAAAGTGACTGAGAAGTGATTCCAGGTCTTTACATGGTCATGAAACGGCAAACTGTAAAACATGTCCATGGCAACTTCAATTAAGCCCGTTTCGCGTGTTCATCTTACGTGGCTTGATGACACAGCGAGCGAAGTAGGGGTTGCCCTCGTATCCGGTCTGACATGTGCAGACAGGCTTGTGGTTGACGACGCGACAGTCAGCGTTGATACTGCACACGCCTTCGCACGGGTCGACGCACTTCTGGCGCGCGCAGGCCCTGCTGAGACTGCACTCGGAGTCGGTGACACATTCGGGCCGGCAGCCCTGGGTGGCATCTCCGTGATAGCCGGGCAGGCACGAGCACACGGCCGCCCCCTGGCGCTCCGAGCACTGGGCGTTCGATCCGCACGGCGACGGGATGCACGGATTTCTCGGCCTCTCTTCTTGGGGCGTTGGTCCTAAGGAAATGACGAGGTTTAGCATTCTGGTGGCGCTTGCATTCGCCAAAAGTTTTATATCATTGTGGAAGTACATTTAGTCCTTTTTTCAAACGTTACGCTAATGGTACGAATAACATAGGTGAACACTTTCAGAGCGGCATAACTTTTCCCTTGATACAGCGTTTCCGTCAACAGTGTTCCGTCCGTCACAACTATCTATCAACAACTACAACTTTAAACGATTATTGAGGAAATTCTTATGAAGTAGGGACAGCTTGTTTGCTTACTCGTTACGGGCACTGGTCGGCAGAGCGAGAATGGGTCTCCGGTGTATCCTTCTGGGCAGGAGCACATGGTGATGTGGTTGACCACCGAGCAGTCGGCGCCGCTGCCGCACGGGCCCGGACATGGGTTCACGCACTTCATGCGCGCGCAGTTCTTGTCGAGCGGGCAGTCGCCATCGAGCACACACTCGGGCTTGCAGCCCTCGTACGGGTTGCCGAAGTAGTTGGTCAGGCAGGTGCAGACCGGCAGGCCGTTGTTGTTGCGACACTGGGTGTTGGCGCCGCACGGCGTCGGGAAGCACGGGTCCGACGGAGGGGGTGGAGTGGCTGCGGGTGGGAGGTTCGCTCAGCATGTCATCCCCACTTACTATTTTTAATTTAGGAATTATGCATAATTGAGAGATTGTAATCAGACATATCTACAATTGAAAAATGTATGCCAGAGAAAGACGGCGTCATTTTAAATGAAAAGTTAGCGCCGTTATCAAAAAGAACACTGAAAAGCAATTATCAAAAATAAAATGTGGACGTACTGCGCCTGATGGCACATCCGGTGAACGGATCGCCCTCATATCCGGTGCGACAGCTGCACACTGGGCTGTGATTCCGCACTTTGCAGTGGGTGTTGACGCCGCATGAGCCTTCGCAGGGGTCCACGCAGTGCTGGTCCATGCAGGTCAGCGTCTTGGCGCAGTCAGAGGGCACCAGACACTCTGGTCTGCAGTTGGGTGGCACCCCGAAGTAGCCACTCTCGCACGAGCACACCGCCTGGCCGTTGTGTTTCTGGCACTGCGAGTACGGTCCGCAGGGGTTCGGCAGACACGGGTCTACCTCGATTGCAGGTTTCGGTGTGGTCTCTGGAGGGGAAAACAGGAAGGGTGTAAAGCTTGTCTTTATATTCTTCTATTTTTTCAATTTTATTCAATATGAGGTCAACTGAAACAGAACCTAGTTTGTATCATCATATGGGCTTTTGGTCGTTACATTTGATTTGAAACAATGTAAAAAGCTGGCGCGCTTCCAACGCGCTAAGCAATAACGTACGAGGGATAAGTCGACATCCTTGGTTGGGGTTGCCGGTGTAGCCTGGGACGCAGTGACAGACAGGGTTGTGGTTCATGATCTTGCACTGCGCGTTGGATCCGCACACTCCAGGGCACGGGTCGATGCACTTCTGCAGCGCACACGCCTTGTCCAGCGGGCAGTCGTCGTTGGAAGTACACTCGGGCCGACAGCCGACGATGGCATTGCCCTTGTATCCGGGCAGGCAGCTGCACACTGGCACTCCGGCGTTGTCACGGCACTGAGTGTTGGGGCCGCACGGCGAAGGTTCGCAGGGCTCACGCTCGGGTACGAATACCGCCGGAGCTGTGGGTCGCGCTGCAACAGGCACCCGCATAATCCCAACATCAGTCTACCGTAGACAGGCACTAGGCAGAGATAGAAGCGACAGAAAGACAGTTTTAAGATTGCTTGGAGGGCGTGACTGATAAATATCGTAAGCGCATCGGTGCAACACACAAGGACGTGTTGAAGACAAGAGTACATGCAAGCAATTTGATGGAATGGTAATCATACGTCTCGCCAGCAGAAAGTAACTGAATAATCAACAATGAATTCAGGACCAAGACGTGCTTGAAATAAAAAAGGTAATAGTTCAGGTAGGCTTCGGGCGGGGTGGAAAAGAGCTTACGCGTGATGGGTTGCGGCGTGCAGGCGGTGAAGGGGTCACCCTGGTAGCCTTCCGGGCAGTAGCACATGGCCACGTGGCTGTGGACGCGGCACAGTGCCGACGGAGCGCAGATGCCCTCGCACGGGTCGATGCACTTCTGGTTCTCACAGCCCTTGTTGCGCGGGCACTCGGCGTTTGAGACGCACTCAGGCCGACAGCCCGTGTATGGATTTCCGAAGAAGTTGGAGAGACACGAGCAGACGGCGATGCCGTTGTGCTCGCGACACCTGGCGTTCGAGCCACACACTCCAGGGTAGCAGATGGCCTTTTCAGGCGCCGGAGTTGCTAAAAAAAAAGAGACGCGACGCATTAGCGTCAGTTTCACCTACCTGTTGGTGAGCAGAATACCGGTGAGTATATAGACGACTTAGACAATATGTTGGACATACATATATCACACCTATTTGGTCCTCACAACACGATAACCTTTCTTATGCTTCCCTATAAAGGAAATGATGAATATGAATTAGGTGGACATAACGCAGCCCTGAAATACCCTCGAAGTCGCGAAAACTATGTCGATGTTCCAAAACCGTCGACCAGATGCGAAGACTCACTGATTGGAATAGCTGTGCAGCCCTGGAAGGGATCACCCTGGAATCCAGAGAGGCACGAGCAAATTGGAACGTGACTCCTAACGCGACACTCTGCGTTGACGCCGCACTGGTCGTCGCACGGGTCTCGGCACTTGTTTCCGACGCAGGCCAGGTGGCTGGCGCAGTCTGCGCTGACGACGCACTCGGGCCGGCAGTTGGGCGGGCTGCCCTGGTAGCCCTCAAGGCACGTGCAGGCAGCGCCACCGTTATGCTCCCGGCACTGGGCGTTCGGTCCGCACGGGGTCGGTGTGCACGGACTGGTTACAGCCTCCGTAACTAAAACACAGGGTCACAGTGCACATGCAATGAGGGTCATGCCGCAATGCTGTCATTCATCGTCATGCAAAACAGACATCGAAAGAATGATAAAGAAGGTGCATAGTACAACGGAAGAAGATGAATGGTCAAGTGAACAGGTTGTTCACTGTTCAGTGCACTTTTCTAATCATTCAATTTCAGTTTCTATAGATTGAAAGAATAAGAAGATACACAAGATAAGACAGGTTGCGTGCATACCGGGCTGTGGCGAACAGCGCACGTAGGGGTCTCCGGTGTAGCCGAGCTGGCACGAGCACTCTGGCGCGTGGTTAACCACACGACATTCGGCATTGGCACCGCACGAGCCCGGGCATGGGTCGATGCACTTCTGGTTGCTGCAGGCCTTGTTGAGCGCGCAGTCGGTGTGCGTAACACACTCCGGCCGACAGCTGTACAGCGCGTTTCCGAAGTAGCCCGGCAGACAGGTGCACACGGGCACACCCTGGCGGTCTGCGCACTGGGCGTTGTCGCCACAGGGTGACGGCTGGCACGGGTTGATGTCGATTTGGGGCGTTTCAGTCGGTGCCTCTGTGGGGCGGGGTTCGTAAGGTAAGACCACTGGCTATGAAAACTGAAAGAAAAGTGATGTAACATATCAGCATGCATTTGTCAAGCAACATGCGGTGCATAGAATATTACAGAAAGATAAGGCATCCTTACGCGTAATGGGCTTCGGCTTGCACATGTCGAACGGATCCCCCATGTATCCCTCGGGACACGTGCATGATGTGACGTGGTTGACCACTCGGCATTCGGCACCCTGACCGCAAGGGGCCGGGCACGGGTTGTTGCACTTGTTGCGGTAGCAGTTCTTGTCACGGGAGCAGTCTGTGTCTACCACACACTCCGGCTTGCAAGAGACCCATGGGTTTCCGAAGTACTCCGGCAGGCACTTGCAGTCGGCGCGGTCGTCGTCGTCACTGGTGCATTCGGCGTTGGCTCCGCACGGAGATGGGTAGCATGGGTTTCGTGGCGGTGGCGGCAGCGCTAAAAGTGAGCGATATTGTCAGGGTGGTGTTGATGCTAAGTAATCATATCAAAAAGTAATAATATCAAATGATATGTTTTACATGTAAAGCGTGGGATAATATTGATGTTCGTACTTGGCCTGAGGACGCAGCCGGTGAACGGGTCTCCCTCGTAGCCGGCGACGCAGGTGCACACCGCGTTGTGGTTGTACACCTGACACTTGGTGTTGAGGCCACACGAGCCCTTGCACGGATCCGTGCAGCGCTGGTCGATGCAGGTGAGGTAGTTGGCGCAGTCAGAGGCCACCAGACACTCGGGCCGACAGTTGGGCGGCGAGCCGAAGTAGCCCTCGACGCAGGAGCACACGGCCTGTCCGTGCAGCTCGCGACACTGCGAGTTGGGGCCGCACGGACTCGGAAGGCACGGGTTCACATCGATGGCAGGCTTCGGTGTGGTCTCTATGGGTGACGTGAAGTGGAGAAAAGTTATTAGAAAGTTTCTGTTTTTAACTATTTTGCTTTCGAAAAAATCGTGGAGTAGCTTTTGCACAATGTTATTTGAGTCTAGGCGGTAGTTACGTTTGAATTGATATAAATGTATGCTTATTTTTTCATATCTATCCTGGTAACTTATGTGTTGTACGGCGCATTAAAAATATCTACGGAACCTTGCACTTTTACCGTGAGCCTGTTCATACAAGTGTGCCAATTAATTGCTCATCGCAACCCATACGTACTAGGGATGGGACGACATCCCTGGTTGGGGTTGCCAGTGTAGCCTGAGACGCAGTAGCAGATCGGGTTGTGGTTCATGATCTTGCACTCTGCGTTAGGTCCGCACACTCCAGGGCACGGGTCGATGCACTTCTGCAGACCACACGCCTTGTCCAGCGGGCAGTCGTCGTTGGAGGTACACTCGGGACGACAGCCGACGATGGGGTTGCCCTGGTAGTTGGGCAGGCAGCTGCAGACTCCCACCCCATTGTTGCTGGTGCACTTTGTGTTCGGACCGCACGGCGTGGGCTCGCACGGATCGCGCTCTACCTCAACTGGAGCCGTCGGACGAGCTGAAAACACGGCATGGACATTGGGCATGCAAAAGTACACATAGTGGTGCATTACCAGTGCTTTTGATGCAAAGACCGTTCTACGGTGAGAGTGCAGCATGCATACCTTTACCACTCTTCACCTTGATGAATTGAAAGATTGAGATATGATTACATTTTCAAGAGATTACAGATACGGAAACATATTCGAGACCGATAGTATTGACAAGGCAGAAAGACAGTTCATAGAAGCATACTGAAATGCGAACTCAGGCCCAGCAGGCCGAAGGTCATGCTCACGGGTAATAGGTCTTGGCGTGCAGGCGGTGAAGGGATCGCCCTGGTAGCCTTCCGGGCAGTAGCACATGGCCACGTGGTCGTGGACGCGGCACAGTGCCGACGGAGCGCAGATGCCCTCGCACGGATCGATGCACTTCTGGTTCTCGCAGCCCTTGTTGCGCGGGCATTCAGCGTGCGAAACACATTCGGGCTTGCATTGCACGTATGGATTGCCGAAGTAGCCAGTCAGACATTTGCAAATAGCAATGCCGTCCTTTTCCGTGCAGCGTGCGTTGTAGGCGCACACGCCCGGGTAGCAGACTGCCTGAGGCGGTGGCGGCAGCGCTGCAACGGGTACGACAAACCAGGGCTGCTGAAGGACCTAACTTCGCGAGTTTGCGGAGGAGGCACCAGCATTACCGATTCTATCTAAGAACATCCTTCCAGTCTCACACGACCTGATACCGACTCGCCTTACATTTGTTACAGGTGCGCCGGATGCCAAGCCGGAGACATTCGACTAAGACAAACTTTCGACACACACTGAAGACGACAAAGCACAAGGCAACTAATTTGGGGTTCAACACTGACAGCAAACAATGAGATGGCTATCAGTATCGGCGTGATCTCCCTGGATGACCCGGCTCGACGACGTCCCTAACCAATCAACGAAACGCCAGTTCCGTCTTAATTTGGATTGGAGCCGACTCTTTCGGCACCCTGCCTTCTGGTAAGTACGCCGAAACTATCTCTGACATGATGGTTACTACATACATACGCGAGAGATCGCCCATGCCCTTTTCACGGATCTGGTCGCCAGTATCAGAACTAGTGCAAACTTCCTCGAGTGAACTAAGACCAGTGCTAGTATAACCATGACTTTGTACCACGTTGAGCAGAAACTACCGCTATGACTCAGTGATCACTTTGCGCTGTCAATAGGGCAAGCGCTGCGAGCGTCCCTTCACCTTAGAACCACGTAACCAACCACCATATCACAACGTTCTCCCTGCTTGAAGGCAATGGGAGCTGTCATTAGCTTTTCCAGAAAATCATCTTAGAATTTACTTTCCTGTTCACTAATCAGACGGCTAGGTCTGTAAAGGGTTTATGTCAATAATCCAAGGCGTTACTACAAATATAAATGATCGCAATTCCTGCTGTGTGACTGGTGGTTGGCGCCGGGTCGGCTATCTACCCCGCCAGTGACAGCGGTGCGGTACTCACTCTGGGGCCGCGGCGTGCACTGCGTGAACGGGTCGCCCGTGTAGCCGCTGGGGCAGCTGCAGATCGGGTTGTGGTTGCGCACCAGACAGTCGGCGCCGACGCCGCAGCTGCCCGGGCACGGGTCGCGGCACTTCTGACCGATACAGGCCTGGTCGGCGCGGCAGTCCTGGTGGACCACACACTCGGGACGGCAGTTGGGAGGCCGGTCGATGAAGCCAGGCAGGCACGAGCAGGCGGCCCGGTCGCCGACCACGTTGCACTGGGCGTTGGCGCCGCACGGACTTGGTCGGCACGGGTCGACCGGCTCGGCAGGTGTCACTGTGCACACGATACGGGATCCGCGTCATTATCCGCAAACCGAGACAAACCGTCGATCCTGAACAACCCAAGGTTAGGTAATTGAGCCCGGCATGGCCGAAGAAACTATAAAATGCTGATAAGTAAATAAAGCAGTGAACGATATTAACCGTTTTAAGGTTTCAATACAAACTTTATCACCGAACATAAATGATGGTAACTTAACTGTTGAACTGACTTACCCGGCTGTAGCTGACAGGCCATGTAGGGATTGCCCTCGTAGCCATCGACGCAGTAGCATTCCGGCACGTGGTTTTGCACACGGCAATTGGCGTTAATTCCGCACGTGCCCGGGCAGGGGTCAATACACTTGAAACGGATGCAGGCCAGCTGAGGCGCGCACTCGTACGAGGTCTCGCACTCGCGCCGGCAGCCGAGACTCGGGTCACCCTGCGCCAGCGGAAATGCACTCGTTATTTATTGTTCACTATTGTTTTTCTCAGAAATGCACAACGACTCAAGAGAGCAACTATAGCTAGTGCCAGTTACAAAACCCGATTAATAATATACCTACAAGCGCTAGCTATGAAAAAAGAAAAAGATTCTGGTACAAGTCAATGAAAGAGCCATCTAGCTTCCACGTTTCTCAGTACTCCCTGTCAACAACAAGCTTTGGGTTTATATTAGTCGGCGTTTTCGCCACTGACCTGGTATCCGGGTAGGCAGGAGCAGACGGCCCGCTCGCCGGCCTCTCTGCACTCCGTGTTCCGACCGCACGGGTTCGGGTAGCACGGGTTGATGACAGCGACCGGTGGCTCCTTGTCCGGGGTATACGGCGCTGCAACGGCGGAATGCGAGGTCAAAACAACAGCTTTGTAAAAAAAACAGCTTTGTGATAAAATTATTCTAGTCTACTCGTATATTCAAAACGTGCTCAAGGTGTCAAGTTTTTTTTTTTTAAATAATTGCATTAAGTGCTCAACCACCAAACCAGAGGCATCATGTGGACTCACTTGTAACTGGTTTCAGCTCGCAGGACACGAAGGCATCTCCCTGGTAGTCCGCCGGGCAGTAGCAGTTGGGCACGTGGTTGACCACGTTGCACTGAGCGTTGGGGCCGCACACGCCCACACACGGGTCTCGGCACTTGTTGCGGAAGCAGGCCTTGTCGCGCGGGCACTCTGAGTTGATGACGCACTCGGGCTTGCACTGGACGTACGGGTTGCCAAAGTAGTCGTCGCGGCAGGTGCAGACGCCGTTCTGGCAGTCGGCGTTGGCGCCGCACGGGCTCGGCGAGCACGGGTCGCGCGGCTTGGGCCGCTCGGTGACCGGGAACGGTCGGCACTGCACGAACGGGTCACCCGTGTGTGTGCTCGGGCAGCTGCAGATCGGGTTGTGGTTGACCACCTCGCAGTTGGCGCCGACGCCGCACACGCCCTGGCACGGATCGCCGCAGCGCTGGCCGAGACACGCCTGGTGCGTGAGGCACTCAGAGTTGATGACGCACTCGGGCTTGCAGTTGGGTGGGGATCCGAAGAAGCCAGGCCTGCACGAGCAGACGGCCCGCGAGCCGACCTCCCTGCACTCGGAGAACGGTCCGCAGGGCGACGGCTGGCACGGGTAGACGGGCACGGCCGGCGTGACCGGCACCGGGCGACAGTACGAGTACGGGTCGCCCGTGCTGCCGTCCGGACACCGGCACAGCGGCTGGTGGTTGATGGTGTTGCACACGGCGTCCACGCCGCACAGGCCCGGGCACGGATCGACGCAGGTCAGCTTGTCAGAACAGACCCGGTTCGACGGACACTCGGACGAGACGACGCACTCGGGACGGCAGCTCACCAGCGGGTTGCCGAAGTAGTTTGTGATGCATGAGCAGATCGGGTAGCCGTTGGTGACCTTGCACTCGGCGTTTAGGCCGCACGGCGACGGTTGGCAGGGGTTGACAGGCGTCAGCGGAGGCGCAGGCGTCACCGCTGTCGGAGACGGAGAGTCTGGTCAGCTGAGTTTCGGCAAGGGTAGCTGGTAATGACTTTAAATTAACTTTTAAGCATTGGGAGGTGGAAAGCTTGAATAAATTTGAGCATCAAACAATATTGAGACAGTATTTATACAAAAAGTTACTGTTTCAGCGATTCTCACAAACAAGTACAGGCAATGGAAGAATGATCAATAGTTTTCTCATGGCTTTTGATTTTCTCTGACTGGAACGCCCCCGATGGCGATACTTACGGCGCAGTTTGCAGATGGTTGTTGGGTCTCCGCTGTACCCCTCCGGACAGGAGCAGACGGGCCGGTGGCTAACCACCTGGCAGTCGGCGCCCACTCCGCAGGCGCCCGCGCACGGGTCGCGGCAGTCGCGGTTGATGCACGCCTGCTGCGGCGGACACTCCGAGTTGCTGGTGCAGCCGACTGAGTAGCACGGCGTCAGCGGAGGGCTGCCCTGGAAGCCAGCCACGCACGAGCAAACGGCGCGGAAACCGTCGCTGCGACACTGCGAGTTCGGGCCGCACGGCGAAGGCACACAAGGCTCCACTTGCTGGTCGGGGATGACTGCAACGAGAAAGGCGGGGGCGTCAGATTCTGTTTGGGTTGTTTGCCTGCGCACAGCGGCATGCCATCTTAATACGTAATAAACACCATTAGCCCTGGCAACATCCTAAAGTTGAATGAGCTAGCTATGCAACACACACAAGAGATTCGTCCATCAGAAAAGGATGGGAGCCTGCCTCACCTGGTGGTCTGGTGATTGGCTCCGGGGCGCACTGCGTCATCGGGTCGCCAGTGTAGCCGACCGGGCACGTGCAGATGGGCGCGTGGTTCACCACGAAACACTCGGCGCCGACGCCACAACTGCCCGGGCACGGGTCGCGGCACTTCTGGCCGATGCAGGCCTGCTGCAGCGGACAGCCGGCGTCGTTGGTGCACTCGGGCTGGCACAGCACCAGCGGGTTGCCGCGGTAGCCGGGCGGGCACGAGCAGACGGGCCGCTGGCCGTTGTACTGGCAGTCGGCGCCCTGGCCGCACGGGCTCGGCGAGCACGGGTTGCTCGGCTGGGTCGGTCGCTCGGTGACTGGGAACGGTCGACACTGGGTGAACGGGTCGCCCGTGTAGCCGCGCGGGCAGCTGCAGATCGGGTTGTGGTTGACCACCTCACAGTCGGCTCCGACGCCGCACGAGCCGACGCACGGGTTGCCGCAGCTGTTGCGGATGCATGCCAGGTTGGAGGAGCACTCGGAGCTGACCAGACACTCGGGACGGCAGCCGTCCCGCTCCGTGTAGAACTGGCCCAGCGGACACGAGTCCGGCAGGGGACGCGGCTCCGGCGGGTCTGTCGGGCCGGGCACCGCTGTGGGTGAGAGACAAGGGCGCTGTCAGACAACTAGCTCCTTTGGTTGAAAATGGAGCGCACCTTTTGCGTGTTTTACACTTTTGCTTGATTTCCTGAAATCCAATCATTGTTTACGGTGAGCTCGTTTCACGTTTGGCTTAAGCAACATGTTGGACATTATTTTAAGCTTCCTTGATTTTGTAGCGTACTTTTCATTAAAAATATATGCATGATAAGCATGTCAAAATATTGTCACTTGAAAATGGAAGGAGCTAAGAGTATAGTCGTGCCCCTCCTTCGTTGACTCACGTCTCAAGAAGCACTGCTGGTACGGGTTGCCGGTGTAGCCGGCCGGGCACTTAAGCATGTCAAAATATTGTCACTTGAAAATGGAAGGAGCTAAGAGTATAGTCGTGCCCCTCCTTCGTTGACTCACGTCTCAAGAAGCACTGCTGGTACGGGTTGCCGGTGTAGCCGGCCGGGCAGGCGCAGACAGCACGGTGGTCGTCCACGTCGCAGACAGCCGCTACGCCGCAGGCGCCCTGGCACGGGTCGACGCACTTGTTGGCGATGCAGGCGAGGTCTTCGGCGCAGTCGGTGCTGACGCGGCACTCCTCGCGGCAGCCGGTCTGCGGCGAGCCGAGCAGGCCCGGCAGGCAGGTGCAGAGTGGCCGACCGTTCACCGAGGTGCACACCGTCTGGTCGCCGCACGGGTTCGGCACGCACGGGTCCGGCGTGCCAGACGGAGGCCGAACTGAAACATGCGCGCCATGCTGACCCATGCGCGTAAGGCGACCGTGCGGCCGGCCCATGCGGCGCCGCTACCCGGCGTCAGGCATACTGATACAGGCGACGGACAGACAGACGGGCAGGCAGGCGCCCGGGTGCGGTCTGGGCCGATGCGGGAGTGAGGTGCCATGGCAGAGACAGACCCAGAACTTGTGATGCCAACCCAGTCGCAAGAGGCTCTCAAACCGATTTATAGTTGTGGCAAGGTTCGCTTTTAACCCATTGCTAAATGTGCAAGATAGCTTTCAAAGGGCCGCAGTTCCAGACCGCACCCTAGCACGCAGACACTTGGAAGAAACCGCTCTGGAAACACGACATCGAATAGAAAGCAGAAGAGCTAACAGTGCACGTGTGACGAAGTCCACTCGCCGAAGATATGGCGGCGGCACAACCATGCGCATCACAGGCATGCTGGAGCGGGCCTCGCGGTAAAGCCGCGGGCCCACGCCCGGCAGATTCCACAATACAGGTCAGCGACACACAAAGGCAAGATCCTGCTCCTACGCTGACTGCAGCCCTCCTGACAGTGCTACCGACATGGCAGGCACACTAGGGTGCCCCAGGGGGGAGCAGTCGGGGAGAAGGGAGTGGGAGTGGGCGGACCATGCTCACTGCCGCTGGGTGCCGGTGCCCGGTGCAGTGGGGCTCATCTTCTCTGATCATCATCTCCTGCTCCTCCTCCCGAGCCGCCCGACCTCAGTCCGCATGCCAAACCACTGACTGTCGTTACCTGCGATCTCCGCCTGGTGCGCTGGTCCTCCTACGGTGTTGTGATGTGCCTCACCGCACAGCTCTCCCGGCCGCCGAGGAGTCGTCTCGACGCTCGGTGTTCACGTTGCCGAAATGATGTCGGCTCCAGAGCCGTGGTGTTTGGCCCGACATCGGTGTTGGTTTGAGGGTTGGCAAGGTGGTTGGGTAGGGTAGGTTTGGGATGACACAATAAATCGTACACAGGAACACATAACAACTGTTTTCACTGGGTAAGGGGTATGACACTATGGTGTCCCACTTACTTGTGGCCACCTCCTGGCAGAGAGTGACGGCGTCGCCGGTGTAGCCGCGCGCGCAGGTGCAGATCGGGCTGTGGTTCACCACCTTACACTCGGCGTTGATGCCGCATGCGCCAGCGCACGCGTCAACGCACTTCTGTGCGACGCACATATGCGTGGCGGAGCAGTCCTGGTTGACTTCGCACTCGCTCCGGCAGCCGAGCTGGCTGGTCGGGTTGCCGATCAGGCCTGGCTCGCAGGCGCAGCTGTACTCCCCGCCGGGCCGCGCAGTGCAGACGGCTCGCGGGCCGCACGGGTTCGGCTGGCACGGGTCGCGCGGACGGCACCCGGTCACCGGGTCGCCCGTGTAGCCCGGAAGGCACGAGCAGAGTGGCCGGTTGTTGACCACGTCGCACCGAGCGTTGGCTCCGCAGTCTCCGGGACCGCACTCGGCGACCACCAGCGCCTCGCAGCGCTGGTAAGGATCGCCCACAGTGCCATCGGGACAGTAGCAGGTCGGGTTACGAGAGGCGTCGCAGCGAGCCCCTCCCCCGCAAGGGTTCGGGTTGCACGGGTCACGCGGTGGCGAACAGCCGCGAATCGTGTTCGGGTCTCCGAAGAAACCTTCCTTGCAGGTGCAGCGATGGAAGCCGTACACCACGTTGCAGTTGGTGTTGGGTCCGCATGGTGAGGGCTCGCATGGACTGCGGATCGGGGTGCAACTCGTGCTCGGAGGACTGCCAGTGAAGCCCGGCAGACAGAAGCACACGGGCTCGTCGTCGACTTCGCGACAGCCGGTGTTGGCGCCGCACTCGTAATCGTCGCACTCGTTACCGTCGGGCACTGTTGGATGAAACAGTGAATGTTAACCAATGTCGGGACCATCATTCAGGCATATAAAGGAACAGTGACATGCAATTTTTACAGCATTATGGTTGATGTATGCTGTACATTGCATAGTGTTAGTGTGGTCTTGCTATTGTTGGCCCACGCTACTTACTGCACTTGACGAAGGGGTTTCCAGTCTGTCCTCTGGGGCAGGAGCAGATGGGGTTGCCCTGATCGACCTCGCAGATGGCTCCCAGTCCGCACGGGCTTGGGTCGCACGGCTTGTACGGAACTGTGTGGAGGTGGAGCATGATAAGTCAGTGGGTTTTATCGACAGCAGACTTATAATATTATCGACAAATAAGGACACGTGAAGTGTTATCTGTAATGTCACCAACATAATATAACAGGTCTCTGATGAAAGCAGATCTACAATAAGTCATCACGAGTTGTCAAGGCCTCTTAGCGCACAATGCCAGCACAAGACTGGCGTGCTCACCCTGGCAGCTGATTTCCGGATTGCCCTGGTAGCCAGACGGGCACTTGCAGACGGCGCGGTGGGCGATCACATCGCACATGGCGTTGGTGCCGCACTTGCACGGGTCCTCGCAGCGTCCGTTGATGCAGGCCTTAGTGCTGGGACACTCGCGGTCGGCGCGGCAGCCGAGCGCTGCGGGAACAGGGCGCTTAGCACGGGGAGGGGCGCGCCGCAGAGCCACCGGAGCCGGATTATGCAGTTATAAACTGGTGCCGAGATACTCAACGAGCAGGGTCAGTAACACGCCTGGATTCTGGTTACATTGTTATGGCCTCAAGACATCCGATCATAATATATGCATTGCTAGTGATGAAGAAGTAGTTTTTGTTATCATTTTTGTTAGGTCCATAGATATATTAGGTTCACTTTTTCAGTCAGACCATTCACAATAGTTACACCTATGAAGATCATTCTCTCATTAAAATATTAGCGTCAGTGACCAGTGTTACATGTTAGCTTAGTTTCGTTTTGCAAGTTATATTCAGTTTCACCAGTACCCAGCATGTCCACGGGGCTGCCATCTCGAACGTTCCGGGGAAATATCGAGCCTCGTCAGATAGATACTAAAAAGAGTTCCCCGCGACGAGCATCACCCTTCCTGGCCCTTCCGTCTGCTTACTATTAGGGGCGTAACAACTGCTCTTGGGGTCCCCAGTCTGTCCGGCGGGGCACGTGCACGTGGCCACGTGCTGCCTCGTGGCGCACCGCGCCGTGGGGCTGCACGGGTTCTCCACGAGACACGGGTCCATGCACTGTCGGTTAATGCAGGCCCTGTCGGCCGGACAGTCGCTGGCGGCCACGCACTGTCCGCCGTCGTCCACTGGAAGGGGCCGGCCGCTCGGTCAGCTCTCGGTCCCTCCACCCTCCCGAGCAGAGCTGAGCGAGGGATCTTTAGAGTTCAGAGCGCCCTATATTGTGGGCGTGTGGTTCTATACATGAGAACCGTATGAATGGCGATCCAATGCATATTTCATAATGTGATGTAGAGAATGCCATTTGTTAGATTTTTCATGCGAAGAAAGAAATGTTTCGCTATTTATCCAGTCAGCTCTGCTCAGGATTTTTGGCCTCTTGTAATAGAGATTGACAGACTTCATACAGAAGAAACGGTAAGGTGAAAAGTGGTTATAGAACAATTGCAAGGAAAGTCAGGTAAACTTCTTTGCAAACATTGTTAGGTTACACATACGTCGGAAAAGAGAAAGCCGCGACAAAGAGAGCTATATGTATACAGCTAGGTAATACCATAAGCATATATCTACAGCAGCCTGAGACAATTAGAACGTCACGGATAAAGATAAATGTTTCATCCACCACATAGAAATTATTTAGAGAAACAAAATTACACAAAGAAGGGCGGTGAGATTAGTAAATTAGAAGAAGACAGACGCGTGAAGGGAGCGTTGAGCTCAGTTGGGAATCGTCGAAGCTCCGACTCGTCTCCCACTGTGGGTTCCCAGCGTCTGGGCGTCGTTTACCCTGCTCACGTTTTAGGCAGTCGGGCCCGCCGTAACCCTCTGAACAGACGCAGCGCGGCGAGTTATTCTCGGTGACACAGCGCCGGTTGCCCTCGCAGCGCACCTCCGGACAGGGGTCGACGCAGTAGACGCCGGCGCAGCGCAGGTTAGACGGACACGTGGTGTTACCGCGGCAGCTCACTGGACGGCAGGGGTTAGTGGTCAGCCCCGCTACCTCAGACACGACGAACCGGCCAGGTGAGGGCACACCGCCAGTTGGTGAGTAGTTAACACCTGTTCAGTTTCACAGTTGGTGAGCTCCAGGAGGCGTTAGGACTGGTTAGAATTGTGAGTGGGAAGATACGGGACGAGGCTATGTCTGTTTTGCTGTCGTTGCTCTAGTCAGTCGGGACCTTCACCTCCATACCGCAGGCAACCCGGATGTCATCTCTACATTTTGTACGAATAGCATGCAAAGCGCCACTCCAGCACACATCACCAACCACAGCAATTCAACTGGCTCCGGGCTCGAAACGCGGCAAAGAAAAGTAGCATTCTCGGAACTAAGAGCATCATTGAAAAGAAAGAGAGACAGCAAGGCTTTGCAATACATTTAAACACTATGCGATTCGCAAATAAAATGTAATGCAAGATGCTTTGTCTTTTGTTTATGCGTTCTGTATGTCCAATGAAAAGAAGACCAAATGAAACAGTGCAACTTTGTATGGCTGCAATACTGCTGAGAGCGAGGAAAACGATAGACCATAGAGACACAGGCAGAGACAGAAGAAGACGTCGACAGATGTGCTTACTATTGGCGCATTCCACCTTGGGGTCGCCCCTGAGGCCCGCGGGACAGTAGCAGATGGGCTCGTGGTACTCGGCGCGGCACTGGGCGCCGCGGCCACACTGGGCCAACGGGCACGGGTCCACGCACCGGCCGTACATGCACGTCTTTGTGTTTTCGCAGTCGTACATGGTCTTACAGAAGTCGCGAGGACCGGCTGGTGTGGAGGCACAGGTCAGGTCAGGTCAGGGGCGTTCAAGCTGAGGCACATACGTTTGAAGGTGGATACCTACCTATACTTGTAAGCTGTCATCTAACACAACATGAAACGTTTCGGAGATCAGATGAATGGTTGCATGAAGAGAGACGTAAGGGAATTGTATCCACCAAAGCGGTACAACGTTCGTTTTACCACTGGCTTATCGCTTTGCATCAGCGTCTTATCGTTGATCGTCGAAGCTTATAGTAACAGAAGTACGGGATAAACAACATCACACAAATAATCATAAGCTGAAGCATAGCCCGGCATCTCCGTCTGCTGAATCAGCACATTGCCACTCGACGATGATGGAGCAGCACCCAGAGGATGCTAATTTGAAGCCCTGCTGAAAAAGCGTTGAAGCACAGTATGGGAAGGAAGAACCACTAGAATTGTCACTCTCTATTCTGGCACACTTGTTTTGTCGCCTTTGGTTACTCACGCTTGACACACTCGATCTGGGCGTTGCCGGTGAAGCCGAGCTCGCAGACGCAGAACGCCTTGTGGTTGGTCGGCCGGCAGAAGGCGTTGGCGCCGCACGGGCGCAGGCTGCACGGGTCCACGCAGACGCCCTGGTGACACGTCTCGGAGCGGTCGCAGTCGCGGTCGGTGCCGCAGCGGGGCCGCGGCGACGGCACTGCACGGCACGGGCTGAGGTCAACGGGCTGACCCGAACAGACGACAGGCGCGTGCCACATGCTGCGCCCGAGGGTCACCTTCACAGCAGGCATGGTAAATGTGGTATTGGAACACCGGGAACAACACTGCATAAATGTCAACAAAGAAAGTTATGATGTTGCATGTCGTGAAAGTGATTTAATGTTTAAATACTGCTGAATAAACGAAATGAACGATAAGGTAACGCGGTCGGGCATCTCATGTGACCTGTACTGCGGCGTGTGCCAATTTATGTGCTCACACATGCGAGTAAGCACGATTTGCAGTTGGATTTATGCTGCCAAAATGGCGTGCGTGTCTGAAACGCCACAGCGTCTCCAGCAAAGCGACGCCGTCTAAAATCATGCGTCCTGCATTCCTCGAGAAGAGCTGAGACTCGAATAGCAAACCACGATGCTGAATGGATCACGACAAGCTGAAGAGAAAACTGCCTAGCTAGCTGGAGCTACCGCGGCCGTAACGACATCGACAGCCGCCTGACGCTCACGACAGTCAGGCTCCCGTCCAGGCAGCAGGCAAAACGCATGCCCAGACGCGATCGGACAGCACACCCAAGCATTCCGTGCCGGACTGACCGTAGCTCCAGAATGCACGCTCCTCAGCGGCAGACCACAGACGTAGAGCACACCGTGCTACAGTGGCTAGAAGGAGAAATAGAAACCCAGCCCTGGCGAGACACAGCGTCTCGATAGTGAAGGAAGGTGGCGTCGGGGTGGTGCGTCAGGCGTCGGGTGCGTCAGTGCGTCAGACCGTCACCGCAGGCGGTTAGCGGACGGGCCGTGTCGTGCGGCGTACCTGGGTCACACTGTTTAGAGGGCTCGCCATCGAATCCGTCGGGGCACGAGCATATGGCCCGGTGGTTGATGACGTCGCAGCTGGCCCGCAGGCCGCACGGCGCCGGCACTGCGAAGCAGGGACTGCGGCACCGGCTGTCGAGGCAGGCCTCGCTCAGCCGACACTGATCGTCTCCGCTGCACAGTCCAGGAACTGCCGGTCGGCCAGCCAAAATCGATTAGAGGGACCAGTCCAGCATCGCGTGATCTCGCATCGCATAAAATATTCAAACTATTTTACAAATGGAATCGCGCCATTTCAAGAACTGAAATTCCGCTGGTAACTTCTGAGCATTTTTTGTGAGCGTGCTATTTTCGGAATCGGTAAGATTTGGAGACTTTATACCACGTCTCGTGATTCAACCGCGCGCCAATAGAGGAATTCTGAGAGCGTTGCTTACTGCGCGTGCACTGTCGCTCCGGGTCGCCGGTGTACCCGTCGGGACAGACGCAGCGGTCGTCGCGACAGCCGGCGTCCAGCCCGCACACGTTGCACGGCTGGCGGCACATCTGGCCGACGCAGCGCGTGCCGGCCGCACAGTCGCGGTCCGAGCGGCACTGGAGCTGCACGCAGCCGCGCGCCGGGTCGCCGGTGAAGCCGGCCGGACAGGCGCACACGGGCCGCCGCTGCTGCACGCGGCACACCGCCGACGCCGGGCACGCGTCCTCCGTGCACGGGTTGGCGCAGACGCGCTCTATGCACGACAGGTCGGGCGGGCAGTCGGCGCTGCGCCGGCAGCTGGGCAGCGGCGAGCACCCGGTGGCCGCGTCGCCGCCGTAGCCCGGCCGACACCGGCACGTGGCCACGTGGTCGACGCCGCGGCACACGGCCGTCCGGTGGCACGGGTTGGCCGAGGCGCGGCACGCGCTCACGCAGTCGCCACTGACGCACTCCTCGTCGAAGGCGCAGTCGGTGTTGCGCATACAGCCGGCTGCGGCGGAATGACGTGTGAGCCGGTGAGTCCCGGTGGACCCAAAACAGCAGTTTCTGCTACGATAAAATTCCTTCTTTTGTGACAATTGAAAATTTGGTCATTAGAAACTACACATGATCGGTCCAGAATTTTGCGCCACTGGTTTCAAAAGTGTGACTTTCTAGCATCCTGACTTTGATTAAATGATGCGTTGCGCATTAAAACAAAAACTTACTCGAAATAAAAGCGAGCTTGCGCTACTGGACTGGAGTGGTTATACCGTTTGTTCGGTTAGCGTGTTGGCGTTAGCGAGCGCACCTGGCAGGCAGAGTAGCAGCGGGTTCCCGTGGTAACCCTCCTTGCAGCGGCACTGCGCCACGTGGTTCTGGTTGTAGCATACGGCGTTGGTTCCACACGGGTTACCAACGTCGCAAGGAAACTGGCAGTCGGCATCCACGCAGAACTGCGCGTCTGGGCAGTCCGAGTCGGCCAGACAGCCAACTGGGCGAGCGGTCAACGGGTCAGGTCAGGTCAGGTCAGCAGTCAATGATGTCATGTCATGTAACAGGCAGCGTGGTTACAGGTTAGCGCAATCGTTGCTAAAATGATGTAAGTTACCTTCCAGCAATTGTTAACCCGCGCGGGGCTGGGGTCTCCAGCCGAACGCGCGGGGCTGGGGGGGGGGGGGGTAAATTTTACCCCCCCCCCTGTTATCTCCCAAACTAATGGTCCGATTTGGAAAATTCAAACGCCAATCGAAAGCTCTCATCACGAACTACTAAAAACATGTACTTAATTTAAAGTTTGAGGTCAAGGTCAAGGTCAGGTCAAGGGTACAAATTGCAAGTTTCTACAGTATCGGCCTTGCACCGTAGTTGCCGAAGAATGAAGTCATGGACTGAGACTGATCGCCCAAAACGTGTTCTTAGGCTACCAAGACAATATTCGTTGCATACCATATTATTCAGAGGTCAAGGTCAAGGTCAGGTCAGGTCAGGTCAGGTCACCAAAAAACAAAATATAGAAAAGGGCATGTGCGACACATGTTTTATGGGTCATTTTACTCATAGAATTCAATAGGCACACTCAATAAGTGATATGGACCACCTCTGGATGAATTTCAGGTCGAGGTCAGGTCAAGGTCAGGTCAAGTGAGGTCAAATTTTGAAGTTGGTTGTTAAGGCCTAAAAAGGTGTCTATCTGATGCAGTTTTTCACGGCGAATCGAATGGTGCTATTTTTGTTTCCGTACGAGGTCTAGAACTTCCAAAAAAGTCATTTTTCAAAAATTTTGTGTGTCGTGACGTCATAAAATTTTGAATAACTCCCACATTTTTGAACCGATTCTTCTAAAATTTGGTATGTAGGTGCACATAGACGACCACTCTGACATATATTCCGGTTTTTTCGATAGACTCAAAATTTTGGATTTTATAATGATTTTCCCCAAAAAATCAGTTTTTGAAAAAATTTAGGCCAAAATCCAAAATTTTCAAAAAACCGAGATAGCCATTTGATAGACAAAGTAAAATTGCGTATAACCTTTTTTGTTACGTCTTGATTCCTTTAAAAATGAAGATGTTAGCGGCGTTTGAACTTTTGCCGTTTTTTAGGCGAAAATGGCGAACATGACGTCACTAAAACGTCAATTTCTCAAAAATTTTCCGACGGATTTCGCTCAAATTTTCAGGGAACGTGTAAAATTGATGTAAGAAAAGGTACTGAAAGTTTGGCGGCGCTGCGCGCCGCCGTTTTTGAGATATCGCAAAAATTCGCGAGGGGGGGTAAAATTTACCCCCCCCCCCAGCCCCGCGCGGGTTAAATATCGATCAACGTTAAGGTCATGTAATAAGCAGCTGATGTTATTTGATAGCATCAAGTACTGTCTGTAAAAGTCCGTTAGCGAGTTGTCAGTGTCCGGCGACCGGCCGGCTGTCCTCCCCTCTAGTGTCCGTGCAACCATTTCAGTGTCCGGCGACCGGCCGGCTGTCCTCCCCTCTAGTGTCCGTGCAACCATTTCAGTCTCCCGTCAATGGTTTTGTTACAAAGCAGTCAAATGTCAAACATGTGTGAATGGAGCGGTTGAGGTCGGGCTGTCGGCCGGTCGCCGGGCCGCTTCTGCGGCGGTGGAGCCAGGTCTTACGTTCGTCCAGGAGGCACTCCCTCCTCGCGTCTCCGTGGGAGCCCGGCGGGCAGCGACACTGAGGGCGGTGCGCCCTCGTGTCGCAGAGCGCGTTCGGAGCGCACATGTTATCGAAGTCGCACGGGTTTTTACAGAGCGTGTCGTAGCAGACTTGGTTGTCGGGACAGTCGAGGTCCGAGGCGCACGAGGGCGGCGCGGTGGGCCGCGCGGTGGGCGTCACAGGCCGCTCTGTCGGGTCAGACAGCAGGACAGCGAGCGTAAGAGAGCGACGGCGACACGGGCAGGCACACACGGACGACCCAGGGCCGGCGAAAGACGCCGCCTCTGGAGAGGTTCTCTGAAACTCGCCGGCGTCAGATGCGGAAGAAGACGGCAGCTCTGCTCAAGACGAAGACGGACTGGGGCGGCTGAAGAGGCGTGCTGTTAGTATGGTAGAAGCTGTCAGAGGACTGCAGGTGGGTTAGCTCGGGTGGGGCGCTGTAGCTACCTTGTGGGGTGCACCCGACGCTCGGGTCACCCATGTGACCGGGCGGGCACCTACAGAGCGGCCGGTGCCGGTGCACGGAACAGACGGCGGCCGGGCCGCAGGGGCGCAACTCGCGGCACGGCTCCCGGCAGACGGCAGACAGACACGCCAGCGAGGCGGCACACTCCGAGTCGGAGCGACACGCGTCGCCGGCAGCGGCCGGGGGTGCCGTGGCGGGGGCGGGGGTGCTCAGGATGCTGGGCCCGTCAGTGGTGGTCACCGAACCGTCGACGACCGTCGGGCGTCCCTCGTCGGGAGGCTCACGGCTCTCGACAACCGCCGTGGACGTTGTGTTTGTTCCGTATCCTACTTCGACAATTATCTCGATTGGAGGGCGTGTGCCATTCGTTGGGATGATCGGAGCTGGCGTTGTTGTCTCCGTCGTTGCCTCAGTCCCTGCCTGGGTCTGTTGTGTGACAGGGGAGACCGTTACATATTCTCCTCCAGTGGATGTCACACTTTCAGTCGTGTTTTCCTCTACGATCGTGGGCAGTGTCACCGCCACAGCAGCTGTCTCATTCACCAGATCCTGCGGAGCGAGCAC